AGGACCTTTGTACTCAGTTTCATCTAAATATTCACTGACTAAATTTTTATTTAATATAAAAAATGTGGTGTTGAGATAATTAGTTAATTGATCATGATATCCGGTTCTTGGTGTTTTGGTCGGGGTGGCCGGTCTGTGGGGGTGGCCAGTCTTTGGGTGACGGACGTTAGATAGAATCGCTAAGCCTAGTGGGCCGCATCCGTAAGCTAAATATGCAGAAAACTTTACTCAGCATAACACACTATATTTCCTTGAGAGTATAGGTGAACAAACCTTGAGCTATTTTAGTTGAACAAGACAGAAAGTCGAGCAGAACCTCTATGGATAATACCACGGTCTCTTGTCCTGATTCAAGATATATTGTTGAATAAGGTGCATCATCGGGATACGATCGATGTGCTAAGGCGTCCTCAGCGTTCGATCGCAGTATGAGGTCTGCAGAGGCAGCAGGCACTGGATGGGTAACACTAGTATACGAATCTGACGAAAACAGTGTACTAAGCGGCGTACTGAAAACATGTTAATCGACTTCAAACGCCACTTCGAAATAAAAGTTAGGGACCTACCCGCCGTCTGTATTGAATTCATTCGCTGGGGCCTTGTTGAGAACCAAATACTCAAGAAGATCAATTAGAGGGCTAAGCTGGTCAGATTCTCTCTGATCCAAGCTATAGTCGCTATAGTGGCAGCTTATCTGATGATTTCATAAGCTTTTACTAAACCAACTAGGAAATGGATTGGGACTCACACATTCAGCCACATGGTACACTAGAGACTGGTTCTTATCGTCGACTGCTCGAGGAGACGCCTGCTTAGCTCGAAATAAACGCAGTATTGAGGACACCACAGAGGGTAGCAGCTCTTCACGCCATGCTCCATCTTCAAGGAAGCCGCGGTCTTCATATTCAGACCACGGGTAGTGCCGAGACCGCATCAGTAGGGAGAGCATCCTAAAAGCTGGTGCAGACTCTGAGTCAACAATAGGATAGTAGGTGAAATTGGGGCCGAGGCTCCATCCTCCTGCCCCAGACCGAATGGTAAATGAAAACTGGATAGCTGAGTTGAGCAGAGCCCTAAGTCCAACGTAGGTCAAGGCGAATTTCTGGGTTCGATCCGGTTCTGATATTGCTTGAGTAGCTGGACACCCGGGCGCATGCTGCTCGGTTGTTGTCTCGTGAGAAAGGCTCAAGGAGCCCCAGGAAGCATTCTTGCGCTGGCGGTGCCGGCGGTGACGACATAAGCATGCGAAGCGGCCTCCGACATAACTCGAAAGAGCTGTTCTGACTCTTACTGCACTTTCATGTGGTACTGAGATTTTCCGCTTTGACATGTGCCGCGCTGGAGTCTTGACAGCGTCACACATCTCTTGCAATACTGCCGGCTTTCCGAGAAGCCGTCCGGTAACCATCAAAGGGGTGATCTAAAACCTAGGTCAGGATTTGTTACAGAATAACCCTAGTGCATAATAATGCTTACCTCTTGTAGTGTTCCGTTGATGGCCGAACCTTGGACAAGCAGCTGTTGAAGTAAATTCTCAAGGCCGTCAAAGCGTGTCTCAAATTGAGATACAGTGCTTTGTATACCTCTAATAGGAGTGCTTATAGCGGAAACCTCAGACTGAACGACTAGGAGATCACTAGAAATAGTCTGTGAGGTTGCCTGTAGCGTAGCTAACTTCTCGGACCCCAGATGTGATACAGCCCTGGCAAGCGTCTCAGAAAACGAAGGCTCATAAGGTTCTGAGGATGGAGCTTACTTACAGTCCTAGATTTTGCAATCCTAACTGAAGAGTCGCATTGATATGATGTAATTTTGTCGCAATTTGCTCGAGCTTTGGGCGATGCAATGGATACAACAGTTTCTTGCCCTTGTTCCGAGCCTTATTCCCCCGACCAGTTGTGCCTTGCTCGTTAGTAATGAGCGTCGCTACCATGCTCTCTAAACCCTTCAGCTCTCCTTTACACGAGTCCAAGCTTTGTCGCAATGCCTCGACTGCAGTTCTGTGGTCGTTCTGAAACCGAGAGATTGATATTTCGATAACTTGGAGTGTCTTCCTCAGCGTGCCGTTCTGCTGTATTATAGAGGCTATGTCTTGGCCGCGGGATTTCAGAGAATCAAAGTAATCCGTGATACTCACAGTGACTTGGAGACCTAGCGATACCACGGCCAAGGCCAACCCGGCGACGGAGAGAGGGTCAGCCATGGCGAAATAGGTGATAGTAGTCCACAGGAGCTACAAGACGATAAGGTTAGTGAATTATGGATTATGAAGAGAAGAAGTCTAGGACCAGTTCCAGGACTTTGCTGACTGCATATTGGTGCCTGATCAGGCTCTCATTACATGCAATAGGCTACGTATCTTTTCAACCATGTTAATAAGCAGGTGACACAAATTACATAAATTTATGGAATAATCTACTTCATAGGTCTGAAAGTCCAACCTAACTACGTAGAGCAGAAGTGGGGTAAAATTACATTTAGTTCTATTACTAAGTACGACTCATTCCAGGAAAGCCTATTTTTAACATGTAAAAAACAGCTCTCCCCCAATTTTTACGGAAGGCCAAATCGACATCTGTCTATCAGTACCCAATCAGAAGCGTGGAATTAAGCCTTGTTACCGCTGCCATACAAGCCTTTGAAACCCTGCGTCGGCTTCGGCATATAGTTATGTGAGAGGAATAATGACTATCGCCTATTATCAACCCTGTTTCAGGAAGTCGTTCTGGTTCTACTACCATGAAACAGACTCATCAATGCCAAAGGAGAATTCCCCAAAGGATGCCATACTGACATCTTCCAAGACTGGGAGATCATACAATACCACACAGACCATTATCGTAATATCTCGATAAGAGTCTCCAGCTATGGCATATGGCTGATCTTGTCAACATAACTGGGAAACTTATTTCAGAAATGCCATAGTTAACCCAATAATTCAAAAGCTAAAGGTATTCTGAGCCTTGCATACTTAGTCGTCAAGGATAGAGTCAACCACGAAGCTTACCCACTCTGGACAGGGTTTGGGTGTAGGGAGGTAGTTGAGATGTCGAACTGCCTTCGGCTTTGTTTTCTATCTGGAATGTTCGATGTCTCTCTCCCGAGGCTATTTGAGCTATGCTAAGTTTAATGCCTTTAGGGTGGCACTCATATCCATCTCTCTAATGGCAGCTTGTAAGAAACGATAACAGCTTTCATCATAAACCGTAGTGGTAAGGTGGAAGAGCATGGGAAGATAAGCCCGGTTCAGCTGGTTTAACCTCGAAACAATGTAGTCATAAACCCTGTGATAGTCGTTTCCGCCTGTGTATTCTGGAAAACATCGACTAAGCGGTTCCGTCAAGAGCTTTTCCCTCAAGGCATTGGCGTTGTTAAGAACAACAATAATCCCCGAGTTCCTTAAAAATGGTGAATTGATAGCCTTTTCGAATCGAAGCATCATCTCGGAAAGTTCAGTATCGCCAAAAAGTTCGTCTTCGTCACTGGGCAGGGTGCGACAGTAGGATCCTAAATCGAGAACAAAGATTATAATTTTGCCCTCAAGTTGCGGGAACAACGCCTTTTCATTACCCGCTAGGCTACCTAGGTCAGTTAGACGGACACTAATATTTCCAAATTCAAGCCGACATTCTACGAAGCCAGGTGGCGGTGTTGGTATTATACAGCGTATGGCATCCTCATCGCTTGGTGAATATCCTTCAGAGAAGATTCGATCGATTTCATTTAAGAAACTGAGAAAAGTAAACATCACAGTCCAAAATCACCACGGACCAAAGACTTACTATTTGCCATTGTTAGGGAGAACGAAGCCACTCCTCTCCATCAAGGTCTTTGTTGCTGGGTGTTCAAGGACTAAGCCCACCGTTTTTGCGAATTCAGGGTCGGGACCGGTTTCCGGGTTCAAGTCTTCCTCGCAGGACAAAATAGTCTCGAAGTGTTGCCATAAGGGGTCTCCTCCTTTGAGGGCTTGGCCATATCGCAGTGAAGCAATCAAGGACTTCAAGCTCTCCATAACGTTTTCGAAGATTATTAGACGGTAATAGGTCTTATCATAGTAGTCTGGTCGATAACGGGATCGTCTTATCCCTTCAAACACTTGTTTTCTCGTGTCTGAGCCCACAATTACTGCCTTGATCTGTCTGTTGGCACTCTCTGAGTCATCTTTCAACTTCTGATCGATTCTCCGAGATTCCCTAGCCTTAAGCTTTGAATCACTCCTGGGCCGGGTGAGGTTTAGAGGTTTCAACTCAATGCTCATAGCAGTGCGTCCCAAAGAAGTAATTCGTTCGCCTATGCTTTGAGATGACCTAGATGAGTCTCTGGATGCGACACTCTGTGTGCGAGTGAGCGTAGCTTGTTCTGTTAGTGGGGCGGGTGGAGGGGCTTGGGGGTCTGAGGGTCGTTGCTGTTCGCCTTGGATAGTAGCACTATGTGTCCTCCGTGTCGTTGCGAGTTTTCGAATCCACTTCTCGTAGACTTTGGTGATGAACAGCTCCCTATCAAATGCAAACTGCACCGACCATCTTGAAGAGCTTACTGATGTAGCTGTCACTATCGAGTCGGAGTCTCGATGAACAATCAGTGATGCAGTATCTCGGCCCATCTCCTCCAACGCCCTAATGATTTTGGGCTGTTGAAGAATCTTTCTTTGTTCTTCTAAAGCATTTCTAAATATACGGTCAGCAACACTCTCTATTTTGGAAATGCTTGAAATTCGTAATAACTCACGCGTTGCAAGCGCTCAGGAGGAGCGTCAGCGTATGTGTTTGCTGGTCAACCATTCGTTAGATCTGCTCCATATCTTTGGTCTTGAAGAGAAGAGAAATCTTGGATCCCATCATCAGATCCCCGGCTTCTGTCTTCTCAAGTTGTGAGACCTCACCATCGATCTTGCTGATGAGCAGGCGACAGCATGTGACACAGCTATCCACCTGCAGGACCAATTGATGCGATTGATCATCGACCTTAGATTCAGCCCATTTCTGGATTTCGCATAATGAGAACTTGAGGAGGTTGAGCTGATTCTCGAATGCCAAAATCGTTAGGTCTGCGGTTTTCCATGCTTGTCGCATGTCACAGACCGTGGTGATCGTTTTGGTCAATACATCGATGATGTTAGCAACCGCGCCGGCCGTTCCAATGATAGACAGTGGATCGGCCATCTTAGATATTGGATTGATGATAATTTGAAGGATCCGTATACTGGTGGCGACTAGTGAGATGTGAAGACAGAATTTCTGTTGTACCCCTCACGTGAGCGGGCTTTAGCGGTTCACAAATCTGCCTAACGTGGCTGTGCTTGATTTGACCATCCATTATCATCTTCACTGCCTTTATGCTAACCAAATCACAATCAATCTAACTCCTACTTCTTACTACATCACTACTAGTCTATCAAAGCTAGCAACCGCCGGGTCATGGATCATGCGTCGAACCCGACTGCAAATCCGCCATCTCGCAATTCAATACCTTCGTCTGACGTAGAACCCCTTCGCAATGTCGATGGCTTTGATGAAGACTGGGGCGATTTTGTAGATTCAGAATATGAGTTCGATATTGAAGCGGTCTCTAAGGATGTTAACCTCTACCCTAGGGGCATATGCTACCTTATCCAGATTGGTGAGGTTCTCGCTAGTCGGTACCGCATTCTTCATAAACTCGGCCATGGAAGCTTTCTAACTGTCTGGATGGCACATGATATAACTGATGATAGCGACGTCGCCCTAAGAACTTGACGTTAGGGGACTCAGAAGATCGCGAATATTCTATGCAGTGTGAGATTGTCCGTGCTGCATGAGACACTATGTATCTTCTGGTCTAAGAACACCTTTCTTCTACATAGACTCCACGGTCACCATCGAGTTATGGTCTTCTCTTTGCTAGGCCTGAACCTCCGAGAATATCCACCTAAAAAATCGCCTGCCACCTGCATCTCGTTTGCGATGCAGCTGCTGCAAGCCTTGAAAAGCCTTCACGATGGCGAGATCGTGTATGGGGGTAAGCCCATCCAACAGCTAACTACTGTTCTCCCTACTTATATACTATTGGCAGAGATCAGGAGGACTAACAACTGCCACCTATAGATTTGAATAGGTAAATATAATATACGGCCTAAGCGCTTTTGATGACAGTAGCTTAGGTGGAAAATACGCACAGATTGGACGGCCTCGAAAGATGTGACTGTTCACTGAGTGACGGAGATACGACGAACTCGTTATGCCGAGCAGTCATATATTTCATCTATCGTCTCATGTGAGCCTTCACCTGGTGACAAACCACAAACTGAGCATGCAGACTATCAACAAACCCACCTCCGAAAGCGTTTCACACTTGTATCAACAATTGCATTTGGCTTTATAACTATCAACTCCTGGGTTGCCTTCGCCTCCGGTCTCGCCGTCCCTCTTTCATGCGGCGCTGAACCAGCTCTCATCTACGGTCTTCTTGTCAGGGGCATCGTCATGAGTATCCTCGCAGCGGGTTATGCTGAACTCGCTTCTGCCTTTCCATCTGCAGGCGGCCAGTACCATATAGTCTACATGACATTTCCCGCTTCAACACGTCACTTCGCTGCTTTCTTTACGGGATGGATGTCGATTCTGTACACCATAGGAGCTACGGCGTCTTGCAGTTTCTTTGTCGCACAGTCGATCTTGAACTTGGTAGCGCTCTGGAACGAGACATATGTTATACAGAGCTGGCATGTCTATCTTGTCCATATCTGTTTATGTACTATCGCCTTCCTGGCTGCATCGCGATTCCCTGCAGCTATTGGAAGCATCGGTGTTTCAGTGTTTTGGATGTCAATTATCGGCTTCATCGCATCGCTTGCAATGTTCTTGGCAGTTCAAGTGAAGCAGCCCAGTAAATTTGTCTTTACCGAATTCACGAATGTTTCTGGGTGGACAGACGGATGAGCTGCTATGATTGGTCTCGCAAGTTGTCCCTGGGCCTATTGCGGTATTGACGCGCCAAGTCATCTCTCTGAAGAGGTCGACAACCCAAGCCGCAATATCCCCATCTCAATCGGAGCTACAATCATACTCGGGGTTATTACAGTGATTGGTTGGAACATTGGTCTTATGTATGTCATCAAAGATGTTCAGGGACTTATTGCATCTGGCGCTCCGATCATGGAAGTGTATAATCAAGCTCTGGGTTCGAAAACGGCTACGACGATCTGGTCGGTTTATTACATTCTCGTCTTCTATAACATTATTCTCAATCTTCTCGTCTTCTCATCTCGGATTCTATGGCCATTTGCTCGAGATGGTGGTGTCCCTTACTCTTCCTACGTCTCCAGCCTCAGATGGTCTATCTAACCCAGTACGCGCAACGGCTATCATGCTCTTCCTCCAGATCATCATCGGAAAACTCTACATTGCTTCAAAAACAGCTTATAGTAGCTTCATCAACCTGACTCTATTTGCACTCAACATCACAGTTGTACTGCCACAGACTGTCTTGTTATTCACAGGTCGCGATTCACTGCCCAAGAGGGCTTTCTCCTTGGGTCGATATGGATACATCGTCAATGCGCTGGCGACCATCTTCATGCTTTTCTTTAGCGTCGTGTTTGCATTCCCTGTTGCTCGGCCTGTTACTGGAAGTTCCATGAATCATCTTGTTGCTATTTTTGCAGTCAGTCTGATCTTCATCATCTCATCTTGGCTATTGGGTCTCTCCAAACGATTCACGGGGCCATCAGAGGGAACTGTACATATTTGAAGGGGCATACAATCACAATAATTGAAACATTTGAGACACTTTTATCCTATTAGACATGAACTACTCATTACGTCAAGCACTATCAGCCGAGGATTCTGAATCGTGAATATTCGGCCCTTACTACAGCTCTCCCTTTCTGGCTGACCTAAACCTGTGGCATATTACAAGCTGACCTTGCGCAGACTCTTGATGGACACGGGCCCAATTAATCCATGCCTTTGCCAATCTGCAAAAGTATACAAAGCAGGTGCCGCTGGACCAACGCCATTCGCCTTGACATAATCAACTCTTGCCTTGACCGCATTGAACAAAGTAGACGCCACCTCTACCCGGATTTTGTTGATTCCCGCAACCAGATAATCCGATACATCGATTTGAGCGCCGTAAATGTCAATCGCCGGAAGCTGCTTGTCGTTTACCCATGCTCGAATGGTGTTGAGCACAGGGCCAAGCTGCAGTACAGCGATGGAATCCTTGCTTGTGACTCTTGGGACCTGGAAGGTAGCTGTGTATGTACCAACGCCTGATACATTCTGTGCTCCAGAAATCTCGGACCAGGGCCGCAATGCCTTCTGAGTGCCCAGCTTCATCACCTTCTTGATAGATGCCGACTTTGTCTCGTCGGGACCAGGGACCCAGGACTCAAGAGTCATGTTCCAGTTGCCGATATCGATGTTGAGGGCATTCTTCTTGTCGATGCTACTGGCAGCAGGAATCTGCTTTCTCTGTCCGTTGGAGAAAGTCAAGGAGGCGGCTTGAGTATCTCCCAATAGGACAGAAATGCCATCCTTGCCATCAGAACTGTAGGAAGCGTCGATGACATTCTCCGACTGTGTGACAATGCTCGTCTTCGACTTGCCACTGGTAAACGCAATAATCGCGGTTTGGCCTTCCTTCAAAGACACCTGGAAGGTGACCTTGCCCGAGGAGCGCTTGAAGGATGCCATAGCAACTTGTCGTCCAGTCCATGCGTTGAGCTTGTAAGGAACCTTTCCTTGTTCAACCTCTGCCGTGATCTCAAAAGTCGATGATGAACCCCGGTTGAAGAGGAGAAGATAGTCCGAGCTCTTGTCTGACCTCCACACGGTATACAAGTTCTTCGCAGCATCTGAGCTTGTCATCACTCGGGGCTTGACGGAAAGTTTGCCAAGTGCGTTGAGTAGATCGTCGGCGGATTTGATGAAAGCAATGTTGGAGTACTTGGATCCCTTGAGCTTCGAGATGTTCTTGGACACAGCATCTTGGCCTTTAGTTCCGATTGTCGTGGCGGGGAGATCCCCTACGACAATGACTGGAAGCCCGGCATCGGCCAACTCAACGAGCTTTTTCGATGCCTCAACAGTGATGAACTGTTGCTGGTTGAGTATGAGCGCGCGATATCCTGCACCTGGAGAGTCCAAGATTTTGTTCGTAACCTTGAAAGTCTTTGAGCCAAAGTTCGCTGGCGACAGATACTCATAGGTGAAGCCTTGAGACTCAATTAGCAAAAGTGGTATGGTATGGCAGCGGTGCTTACCGCTAGCACGAAGATCCGTGCCATTATACTCATCCGATATGCCATAAGGATCTTTGTACAGGTAAAAGGCCAAGTCTTTCTTGCCTACTCCCTGCTGCAGGACAAACTGGTTTCTGGCGGTGTAGTTCATCATCTCAGACATGTAGTTCCACGCTGGCTGCTTGGGGCTCCAGAGTTCAGTGTAGATAAACTGAAACGGCGTGAATCCAGGCCAGGTCGAACCGACTTGCTCTCCAGTGTAAGTCATTCCATGGATCATCATGGCATTGACGCCGCCTGCGAATGCATCGTGGAAGAGGTTGATGAGGGATGGAATGGTCAGACTGTATGCGCCTTGTGCTACTGCGCCGATCTCTGTGGAAATGATGTTGCGACGTCCAAGGTGTGCGGGGCCGACGAATTGTGACATTTGATCTGGTGTTTTGAAGGCCAGAGATTCGAGTTCGGGGGTGGAAACAATCGGTATATCCGCGAGCTATTAACGTGTCAGAGACATGTCGTGGCACTAGAATTGCGGCTAGAAGCATGGACACCTACAATGTCCAAGGGAATGTTGTACCCAACTTGACACGAATGTGAGAGGCCCAGCGATTCAGCCCAGTCTTCGAAGGTCTGCAGGTACTCCTGGTAACCCTCGTTCAAGGTCAGTCGGTAGTCCTGGAGGTACTTGCTCTGTCCGTCATCCGGAGTCCCATCGAGGTAAAATGTAGTGTTGTAGGGAGCCTGGGCGGCTGTAAAGGATGTCGACTTGTGGAATAGCAATGGAAGATACTTAATAACGTTGTAACCGCGCTTGGACTTGAAACGATCCGGGAACCCAGGAGACCAGTAAAGCGAAGCTTGAATCTCCATGCTGTCCTCCCAAGCTATTCCCAGGTTAGAATGGCTAAACCAAAAGCTTATCGGGGATTGAACTTACTGTGCTTCCCAACCTCCTTGAGCAACTGGCGGATCTGGGTACTCAATAGGTTCTTCTCCCAGAATTGGGATGCTAGCTTTGCCCCAGCGGCGCTGAAATGGTCTGTGACCCAGGAGCCGTTGGCAATTACATCAGTAGGAACGCCATCACACGATCGCTGGTTGGTGTAGCGCTCGTAGTGCGCAAATAACACGTACTCCTTATAGTCTTTTGGTGCTGTCCATGTGATCTTGCCGTCCTTGACGTACTCGGTGAGGTCGGCGAGTGACTTCTCATGCAAGGCGATGAAAGCATTGCTGTCACCCGAGTCGTTTCCTTCAAAGGCATCAGTACAAGACACGATGGTGTAATAAATGATTGTAGGAGTGGTCATTCTCTAGACGGGGGGTTAAATATGTATAACTTACTGGATGCAATGGCAGCGGCAGAGACCCCAATAAGACGGCTCCCACCAAACTTTTCCTGCGGGTGAATATACCCCAAGTTCTCATTCCAGTCGATATCAGCAGCTGGCAAAGCCCCATCAAACTTTTCTCCTCCTTTAACAGACACCTTGCCATAGACAAGTTGCACGGCAAGACCAGGAGTGAGCGGCTTGGAGGGAACACCCTGGCCCTGGCTAGCACCCAGTGCCACGTCCATTGACAGCCCATTCGCCTTTGTAGCTTCAAGCGCAATCTGGAGAACTTCCTTGAACGCAGGCTTGCCAAAGGCATATGTTTCCATCTTGGAGTCGTTCACGCCGCCGAAGCCGTAGTTGTAGAATGGGAGAAACTCCAGACCGCCGGCGCCGAGCTTTTGGAGGTCTTGGATGTCGGTTTGGAGGACATCGTGGTCAACATCTGCATCTGGGAGCCTTTTTTGATGGGGATTATAAGTTAAATGTTGGCATTTCGTGAGGTTGGATAGTTTACTTACCAATATCTGAACTTGGGACGATACTCGGCTGAGGGAGCTTCGAATCCTGGGACCGCGTTGGACAATGGTGAAATACCTTGCCCGACGACTACGCCAATGGCAGCCGTGGAGGCAAGTAATTGGCACCTGTAGAGACGCATCTAGCCTGAGTGACCAGTAGCAGAGTTAGGTGATAATGAATGTGCTTGTACTTGTTAGTGAGGAGATTGGCTTCTGCGGATAGCTACAGGCCTTTCTTTTATGTCCATTTCCAATCTCGCGTCTCGGGCAAGTTATCAGCGAGATTGACATCCCCAAGTCATTATCTAAATTAGTTGTCGCTGTTTATTACGGCGAAGTCAACCCCCCTCAATGGCGATTCCCCAGCACTCACCAAGCGTTTCTGGACAAGCTGATTCGTATTGGGATTAGCACTGCCGATTCAGGGGATTACCCCGTGGGGAAATGGGGCACCATTAACGTTAGACGTCTTTGTGCATCGGGCTCATTTCAGGACTTGGGTACAGTAGTTTGTATCTCGTTCGCGCCTCGTTCCCTTGCTCAGTGTGACTTTGCTTTATTCTCTTTATATTTACTACTAAATCCTTCTACAGTAGTATATCTATTATATTATCTTTAATGGATATACTACTTAAGATATCTTTTATGTTATATTTTATTTAAAATAATGCTTCTTATATATACCACGGCTGTGAAAAGTGCCTCGTTTACTGTCTTGTTCACCTCGTTTATATCTCGTTCTACTCACCCCGGCCTTTCTCCACCTCGGCCTTTGTTACCCCGTCTGCCCATTTAAGATCCAGCCTTGTGTAGCAAATACATGAGACAGGTACAAGTCTTTTTTATTAGGTCGCAGACTAATACTCAAAGCAATATCTCAGAGAGAAATAGTTAAACCCTAAATCCACTGAGAAAGCGCCACAACTATTGGAACCCCCAAGGACAGTAACTTGAAGCTCGTCAAAGATGCACCGCCATTATCGTCGTCGTTGTTACCGTTCCGTCCTGTCGCGTCAGGGAAAATATGCGCTCTTACGTTTGTCCCCGTACTCCATCCCCACATGTCTTTTACGGTAGCTGTACCCGTTCCCGTGACATGAGCCTCGGTACCTGTGTACCATTCTTCCATCGCTTCTGCTGAGTAACCATTTCCCATGCAGTAAGAAGCGTAATAGTGTCGCATAGTCTCAGCATCCTGCGACTCTTGCCCGTTTGAGCAACTAGCTTGTGCGCAGCTGTCGATGTGTTTGCTCACGGCTTTCGCTTTGTCGCTATCCGTTGCGCAGTAGCATTTTTCTTGGTATGGTGCGCCGCAGTTTAGAGCGCTGCCGAGATCAGCGTTTGCGTTGTTGGGACGGAAGAGACATGGTCGGATGCATTGATCGACGTCGCTTGGAATTTCACGGAAGATATTGACAGTTTGAGAGAGAGACTGAGTCGCGAGGACCAGCAGTGTAGTTAATCTCATGGCCATGGGAGTCATTTTGAGGATAACAGCCCGGAGATGAACAGGCTGAGGCGTTGATGATTGTTGATCCAACAGTAAGAAGTCAATGTTGAAATGAATGGACTTGAAGAAATAGCCATGCACTCTGGTACACATATGTCAGATTCTGTGCGGCGTAGCCGACTTTATCTGCAAATTTCAGCTGCGATGACTCTTCCCCTCATGCGCATTGGTAGGCATCAGGCCATCAGTACTGTAGGCGGTTGCGCGACCAATCATGAGCTCTCTTCCCTGCCAAGACTGTAGATCTCCGTTTCACAGCCCTGCGGCTTCTTTTCCATCACGGTCATCACCAACACAAAACTATAAATATTTAATTCCCACTGTTTCATAACCATAGAATTTATTTTGACCGAAAAATGTGTGAAAGACACGGCTGACTTGCGGGGAGATGGGGTAGAGTCAACTAATTAGAGTCACCAGTGGCGAGCACTGATCTGGTCAGTCTTGGTCGCCGCCAAGCAGTGATCAAATTTTTCGCGCATCTAGGAAATAGCGCGCATCCTTTGGGGGAAAATGTTTTTCGTAACTGAATCAGATATGCCATTCCAGCTGAGCCTCGTGGCTGAGCTTATCTGCGATCCGATTTACAATTCTCCGCGTACGGCTCACCCCGAAACGCCAAGATCTATACGCGTATAGACCCTATATATATCAACATCAGATCCTGAAAAGATCTTGGTCAAACATCTTTATTCAATCTCAAACTTGAAACCTGACGCATCTGCGCTCGACCGTCTCATTATTATCTTCTTTCGACATCTTGCTTCTGCCTTTCGCCGCGCGTACTTTGCCATTCATTCTCCGCCTTCAAATCGAACAACCGACAACATGGGCATCAAAGACTTTTTCGACAGCCGCTTCTTTGAGCACAGCTGGAAGAACAAAGTTTTTATCCTTCAAGTCGTCACCATCACAATTGCCTTCATTCTCGGAATCGCCAAAGTTGCGACGAAACCATCAGGTATCCCAATGACCAGATCGGACATCATGGCCATCACAATGGTGGGTTATCATCTTATCCTACATAATTCAATCAATACTTACAGTTGCGCAGAGTCTCAAGTCGTACGCTTTCCTAGCCTACGAATACGTCACGCAAAAGGTGGACAAGTTCAAAAGATTCGGAAGCCTCAAAGCAAATGCAATTCTGAACACCATGGACATCGTCTTCTGGGCGGTTGTGATGGGGTTGGCGTTCAACATGGCTACCAAAGTATGCATCGGTGCAAATTGTGCACTTGGTATCATAGTTGGCTTGGTGGCACTGGTCGTTGCGTAAGTTGCTTTGCCTCATACTCATCAAGGAACTGGCTGACACTGCGCAGATTTGTCAACTTTTGGGCGGCTGTTATTGCCTGGAAGGATCACAAGTACTTCAAGCGCAATGGCGTCCGACGTGGACATGGGCCTGAGAAATAAAACACTTTCGACTCAGGCCGGTGATACTCATTGTGGCAGCTGAGCCTTAATCATGGGGGATAATGAAGGGTTATGCTGGGCACCGATCCGCTGAGCGGGTGATGTTCTGTATGAGAACAACATCTCAAAATGAACAAGAAATTTGAGATGCACGAATAAATGAAATATGAGACTCTTTGATATATTCTTGGTTCAAATAACTATTATATTATGTCTCTTAGTTACCGCCATTTGACAGTTTCGAGTTAGGGCATTGGTTGATGTTTATTTTCATGAAAAGTTATCCTAACCACCTGCTATGATTGAAAGCTGGCGGCTGGTGCTTGCGCGCGGGTCTTACGTCGAAGCGTTGACACACACTTCCACTATAGAGCTTTGCCTTTAATATAAAAAAAAAAAAAAAAAAAAAAAAAAAAACCCAGTGATGCTATAGTTATATCTCAATTGACGAAAAAGACTGAGAAACAGTTCGATTACATTTAAACAGTGGCTGTTAGTTGACTACCCTAAACTCAGCTTGAAAATGTTTTCGGATCTAAACGCACAGCCCTGATCCCCATGCAACGAGCTATAACCGACAAAGTCTAGCGTAAAGCGGGAACCGAGTCGTAGGCGGCTCACCAAAGCCTTTCTTAATACGCGTATTTATTGTCTCCACATCTCAACCCGCCATTCACACCCACTGCCTCATAAGGCTTGGGCAGCTTGGCTCACGTAACTCGACACTTGTCAATGGGATTCTCTTCCGATTGATTGAAACACGTACGTATATCCGATCGGAGATTTAAATTTGCATATTCTCGTATATTAACTTTTCTCCAAATCACCCTTTTACCCGAGAAACGTATCATGTTTATGGCTCTGAAGCTCTGCGTTGGAGTCATTAGTCGGATTTTCGTGTACGAGTGTATCTTGTGATACGCGTATTTGGCGATAGCGTCTTTTCGGCCATTCCGCTCTCTGCAATCAGTCAATTGGCTGCAATGTTTCACGGTCGGATTTCTTATAACATGGCGTCGCCCTGACTGGCAGCTGAGAACTTCTTCAATTACTTCCAATTCCCTTCACCTTCATCGACTTGAGCAAACATGTCCCCAACATCAGATAACGACCAATCTAACCGACAGACGAGATATTTCGAGCTCCCAGCAAATGGCGAGCATAGCGCCCCACTACCAGATGAGCTTCCGCCCTATGAAGCGCTGGCGGAATTAGAAGCCACGACAACTGGTCGTGAAGATGGACGAATTGACATCGATCTTAGTTCGAGAATAGCTCGGCGACTGTCGAAACTGGTTCCGACGGGAAAGCCTCCCATTTCTTATGGACAGAATCAACCGCCTGCATACACTGAAACAAGTGAAAGGAGCATTCGTCTCAATATCGTCATTCAGGTTGTCGGTAGTCGAGGCGACGTCCAGCCATTTGTTGCGCTGGGCACCGAACTACAGCGCCATGGCCATCGGGTGCGACTTGCGACACACGGCCAGTTCGACAAATTCGTGAGAGAGTCTGGTCTTGAATTCTTCTCCATTGGCGGTGATCCTGCTGAGTAAGTTTTCTCCAGGTTCAATTGTTGACACCAGCAGAAGCTAACGATTCTGTAAAGACTGATGGCCTACATGGTCAAAAACCCCGGCCTATTCCCCAGCATGAAGACACTACGCGGAGGCGAAATACAGCGGAAACGCAAAATGGTCGACGAAATGCTGCACAAGTGCTGGAGCTCTTGCATTGAGCCTGATGAGCTCACAGGACAACCGTTTGTTGCAGATGCGATCATTGCGAATCCACCTAGTTTTGCGCATATCCATTGCGCGCAAGCTCTCGGTATCCCATTGCATTTGATGTTCACGATGCCGTGGACGAGCACGAGGGAGTTTTGCCATCCACTTGCGAATCTGAAGGCGAATGGGAGTGATATGTCGGCGACTGCTGCGAATTATGTGTCGTATTCGTTGGTTGAGTGGATGACTTGGCAAGGGTGAGTTCTGGAAGAATGGCTTTAGATAAACATGTTCTAACTCGAGAAAGGCTCGGCGATATCATTAACGCATGGAGAGGCACAATAGATCTGGAACCGATTCCATTTAGCGAGGGTCCGTGTTTGACGGAGACTTTGGGCGTACCCGTCACATACTGTTGGTCTCCAGCTTTGGTACCCAAGCCAGCAGACTGGCCCGAGAACATTGGTATGTCTCGATCCATGCCCTTACTGACCGTTCACTGACAAGCCGTGACAGATGTTTGCGGTTTCTTCTTCCGCGATGCGCCAAAATATCAACCTGAATCAGCGTTGGAGCAGTTCTTGGCCAGTGGTCCGCCACCGATTTACATAGGCTTTGGCAGCATTGTTATCGATGACCCCGAGAAGTTGACAGCGACAATTCTCGACGCTGTTCGTGCGACGGGGACACGGGCAATCGTTTCTCGAGGATGGAGTAAGCTTGGAGGTGATTCACCTGGTGACGATCAAGTATTCTTCCTAGGCGATTGTCCGCACGAGTGGCTATTTCAACATGTTACTGCGGTAATACATCATGGAGGTGCTGGGACCACGGCATGCGGGCTCCTCAACGCAAAGCCTACTACCATTGTACCGTTCTTCGGAGAGTAAGTCGTCGCCCCCCCTAACTTAGCTGCTCTTGTTGACCATGGTGGATAGTCAACCATTTTGGGGAAACATGGTTCACGCCGGTGGTGCAGGTCCAGCTCCCATTCCATTCAAGTCCCTGAACAGCAACAACCTCGCCGAAGCTATTCTCTTCTGTTTGACACCTGAAGCTTCCACAGCTGCACGACAAATCGCCGATAAGATGTCATGTGAAGCCGGTGTCAGGCGAGCCGTGGCATCCTTCCATGAGAACCTACCTCTCAATAATATGCGATGTGACCTCTTACCCAATCGCTCTGCAGCATGGCTGTACGAAAAGAAGGGTAAGAAGATAAAACTATCCAAGATGGCTGCTGAGATATTAGTCGAGGGTGAGAAGGTGTCGTGGAACAACCTCAAGGCGTATGTTACACCGTGACAAGCATGGGAAGAGTTTGCTGACCATTTTGTAGTTACCAACCGCAGCCAGTTCATATTGAGAACCGCCGTTGGGATCCGCTGACTGCGACACTTGCGACGCTCGCCACGACTGGAGTTGGTATGGTCACATCAGCCTCTGACATTGTCGTCAAACCCATCCAAGCTCTGCGACCCGTGACTCCAAGTGGTAGCAGATCAGCAAGTCGAGATCGATCGGGGGATAACTCGAAACGCCCCTCGGAGGAGGATGTCTTTGGCAGGCCAGCTGGCATGGATCTGCCTCCAGCACCAACGGCCACCAAAGATAAAGATCCCCAACATGGTGCACTAGCAGCTGTGAAGGGCTCAGCTTCGGGTGTCGGTGGCTTCTTCAAGCACTACTCAAAAGGCATGCTTCTCGACCTCCCCTACGCCGTGACAGAAGGAATGCGCAACGCCCCCAAACTCTACGGCGGCAAAGCCTACGATCCAGGTGCCGTTACAGATTGGAAATCAGGCGGTATAGCAGCCGGGAAGAACTTTGCACATGGTATGGTTGAAGGTATAGGCGGTATAGTCATGGAGCCTGTGAGAGGAGCGAAGAAAGAAGGCGCTGCGGGTGCTGCGAAAGGTGTCGGTATTGGATTACTGAATCTGGGAACTAAGGTGAGTTCTGGTGCGATAGGGTTGTTCGCGTTGCCGGGACAGGGGGCGTACCTGAGTGCGAGGGCGCTTGTGAAGAGGAAGACGGGGAAGAGTATTGTGGAGGCGAGGAAGATTGAGGGGAGGGATGTTATTGAGAGGAGTGGTGAGGCGGAACGCCAGAAGGACAAGACCGCAGTAATAGAGGGATTCGAGTCATTGATGCCAGAGACGAAGAAATAGATGGATAAATAGATAGTAATAACAGATGACAAAAAATACATTGCAGTTACCTGTGGCAATAGCAGCCCTAGTAGGCTTCTGTCTGCCCTCGTCGCGCCTTTGAAGCCTACCTTGGGCTGTTTTTTTTTCAAAGATCGGTATGCTGTTATGATAGACTATCTGGCATCGAATTAGAATAAGAGCTGATGGATATTTCATGAGTATTTCCTAGTCCTACCCAGTGTCTTGAAAGACTTAAGGGACTCAGTCCCGAATCTCATAGATTCAGTCATTCCCAACCAAGGTGTTAAAGAGGAGGTTACCGTAGCCAAGACCTTGGCAAGGCCTTGCGTGCAAGTTCAAACAGAGGCCAAAAGATACATATTTCATGTATCATGACCTAAAACTATCAGTCAAATCCATGGAGGCGAGTATCACTCATAAAGAGGCCCTTTATAGATTTACACATTCCTGTTGCAAAAGACGTATGGTTCGCTTTATCTGTTCTTGATGCTAGTGCATCCCTGTTGCGTTACTGGTATTATTATGTAATTAATGCCACTATAAGATGAGTTTTAAGATGACAGTCAAGCCTTTTTGAACTTCAACCTTATTTATCAGCGCCCTGTACAGGAATTTCCTTTTGGTAGGTGTAGACTCATTACGATAGTACACCATAAACACTTACTCACTCGCGCCTCGTAGGCGATACACAGTAACACATTTTTGCTTCGTCGAAATGGCGGTCTCCACCGAAGCTGCTGCGATTATCCAGCGCAAGAAGGCACAGTATTGTCGCTTCGCCGACTCCAATCAATGGGACCGCTTCGACAGCATCATGCTGCCCAACGCGACCTTTCTGTTTCACAACCCAGATGGGAGTGTAATCACGAAGGGAGACATCGAGTACTCGTGGTCTTCAACGAAGGACTGGGTGGCTTTCTTTGAGAATGAGTTCAAGACGATGCAGACGATTCACATTGTCGGACCAGCTGAGATGGAGCAGATAGCACCTGATGAGATCAAGTCTATCTGGGCTGTTACATATCATGCTGGGACGAAGGAACATGAAGGTGGTGTTCATGGAACGGGCGGTGGACATTATCATGAGACGTGGAAGAAAGTTGCCGACGACTGGTTCATGGAGAGCTTGAGGATGGAGAGGCTTTACTGGAAGGTATTGAGCGTTTGATCGGTTCATTCAAGGCGACTACATATATCTGCATCTAGTGGGAACCATTCACGCCATTGGTACCGTTTGTGCCATTTGTACCGTTGAGCCCATTGTTGCCATTAGTGCCATTTGACTTCTTGGCTTCAGAAGCATCCTCGGCATCAACACCTCTATACTCGAAATACTCAATCCATTCACGATCATTGATCAAATCTTGAGCCAACCTCTTCTCATAGAAGATAGCAAACTCGCATCCCTCATCTGACTCGGGCGATGGGTCGCGAGGTGGGTAAACAATGATAACACCCTCAGTGATGCGATCGAGCAGGTGACGGTATGTAGCTGGCTTCGCGAAGCCAAAGTCGGCCGAAGTGATGTTCGCATCTCGATGGTCAGTCTGAAGGATCGATAGAGGGGGCTGAGCATCGACTCGGGTGTTCAGTGACGTCTTGTCGCGAATGGTAGCGACCATTTCAAGCGTCTTGTCGAGGTTCTCTTGCGTAACGCTGTTGGTCAATCGGCGAATATACGACGCCAACTCTGACAGCGACCACTCCGACATAATCTGTGTAACAGTAGGTTGCGTAACAGGTGCCGTAGGAGATGTCACAGCGAACATGACATTATGCTGAATGCGTGGTGGCACCTTTGGACTGTGCATTCGTCGTCTCATATCAATCGCCTCACACCAGTATAAAGTCGACTTCGGATCGGGGTTGAAGACGGGCGCTCGAATACGCGTGAGGTTGCGCCAGATGAAGGCTGAGAAGGCATCGTATGTCGAGATCCACGTCCCGTCGGTGGGAGTGGCCTTTGCTTTGAGCTCGGCTGCCTTGCTCTTGGGGAGGTGGAACAGCAGAGACACGCCGACTTGATGAGCGGGATGGCGCTCTGGGGGAGCTGGGCCATCGATCTTTTGATCCTCTGGTGGCTCTTGCTTGATGAGGCGTGAGACGTCGAGGTTCAGAGGGTCCCAGCTTGGATGCTTGGTGCCGTTCACATCGGCGTTGCAGTTCTCAGCTAGCTGATGAACAAAACCCGCCCAGCCCATGACATCATTGGTGTAGTGATGATGGTGAATGTTAAACACCAATCCACCTCTGATGAAGTTGGCTTTGAAGGCTGAAACGACAGGACTGTTGTCTGGATGTGCTTCAGGCTTCTCGCCATATGTCATGGGCGGTACACTCCATTGCTCAAGATCCCCAAGCGTCACAGCACTAAAGTTTGTCTTCTCAAGATCCTCAAATGAAGGATACCTATCCACATCCTCAGGCGCATCAAGCCACTGCACAAAAAAGCGAACAGTACTATCCCTCTTCTTGGTGAAAGAGTGACCACCGCCAGGATCCTTCTCAATGGTTCCACAGTAGTGTCTCGCCTGAGCCAGCGTCCTCTCAAGCCCGGCTTTGAGGATCTCAGCGGCTCTTTCCTTCTCCGAGTCCTCTAGCTTGAAGAACAGAGCGTAGTTGTTGTAGCTGCAGACTGTGAGGTAGTCGAGCGTGGTGACCTTGAATCTCTCCTCTTCGGGATCGTTTTCCCAGCCAAGTGGGTGAAGATGGTAGACCTGTTGCTTGGGCATGGCGTGGGGCGCTTTGTGGGTTCGGATGAGTGTGTGTGTGTGAAAGTATGCGTGATGGGGAAGAGTATGGGTGTGAGATTGAGCTGGATTTATGAGCCTGGTAGCCGAGAGTGGGTTCTCTGCAGGATGATTTGGTGAACCCCTTTCTTCTTCTTAGCTGGTTGTCCCAAGAAGCTATAGAGATCTTGCAGCATTAACAGTGAGGGGTTTGCTATACGAAGGAATAGTAATGAGTTTCTGGCTGCATGGAATCGACGAAAAAGTTGAAACAATACTCTTGGGAACAACCGACGGCAGTACGTAGGGAAGTGGCCTGATCCTTCAATGCAGCCAAGTGTTCTTGAACCAACGCAGCGTGACGGATACTGGGGACCTGGTTTTCCGACCGTTACCCAAGTCTTAGAAGTGCCGATCATCTGCAGATTTCTGATGAAGATGTTACCAATAATGCCAAGTCGGCCAAGTTCATGCAACGCCAACAGGGAACCAGGGATGAAGGAACTTTAAATTCTGGACCGGGACATTTTAACGGGCGGGAACTAATAAAATGTCCGCGCCGTCTGGTTATCATGCTATGCAAACATTAAGAGTCTTAGCTTGAATATTATTAACTGGCAAAAATGGTGTTTTCCGTGGGTTTATGACGTTGGAATTTGGAACGAGGAGGGTGGCCCGATGTTCACAAGCAACTATCTTGGCATGCACACGGGTGTAACATTTCCGGTAACCCGGTAACCCGGTAGGCAGCGTATATGCAACTGTTTGGATTTGTTAAGGATCTGCCCTGCTCGAACAGATTCGAGGCCATTTGCTAAAGGATACAAATTGCAATGACTGATCACATGTTGTTGCTCACCCCTGCTTGCGTTCTTTTCTCTTGGTGGGTGGGGAACCTGAATCCTTCGATCGGGTGCCGTTTTCCATGCTGAGTCGCAGCCTAGACAGTCTCTCCTGCTGCTGCTCCCAAGTAAGGAGTATTTTAATACCGTAGGGCTGCTAGTCCTTTGCAAATTCACTCTTTAGTCTCTTATAGTTGACGCCAGTAACTAAACTCGCATGGCTTGGGCCAAGCCTAGCCAGGAACAGATCATAAACTTGATTGCTAGTTTGAACAAGAAGTGGCATGAGCCTGTAGCCGAGGTTCCACCATATGGAGTTTCGTTCTCAGCCAGCCAAGACAGGGTTAATAACCAGGCTTTTCACACGCGGCGCCACTAGCACCAACGTCCCGAGGGAACTTGTGAGAAAGCTATCACAAGTTCCCGTCACTAGCCCCTGTAACTTTCAACGTGTAACCCGCTGCAGCCAATGTCACCAATGAGCCAGGATTTCGGGAACTTGTAGCTAGTCTTGGATATGATCGCCAGGAGAACACAGACGGGGACATTAACGCAAACGGATGTTTCAATCAAAAACTCAATTACGGCTTGCACCGACAAGACCTCAGGTCAAAGAATGACCTTGTAAGTAGTTACTTACTTGCTATAGTATCAGATCCAAAAGCAATTACTGTTTCACCTCCCGGACCCGAAATACTGGGGTCGAGGCTCGCCACGTTTGGTACCAAACTCTCCTTAACATGGGAGATCAAAGTCTTTCCGTAGGATCGTTAAAAGTCAGCTTGTCCCTGAAACTCTTGTACCTGAAGATCAAGACCTTGTTACTGTCCTGTGCTCCTGGAATCCTTTCATCATGGCTACCATTGATATGGATGGACCGGCCCTTGCGCCTCCAAAGGGCGAGGTGTCGAATTTGAACGACCCTCCAAATCAGAATGGCCTGGCTTATACTGTTCTGATTATATGCGCGGTGATTACCACAATATGCTTCCTTCTGAGAGCTTATGGGAGAGTTTATCTGTTGAAGAAGTTTCAGACTGAAGAGAGTGAGTAGCGCGTCTGATCCTTCCCGAGTCATCGCTAACGGATTTTGAAGTTCTCACGACCTTGGCATATGTATGTTCGATCCTTTGACTGTGCTTGACATGATCTCTAACAAAATCAAGGGCAACTACTGGGGTGCAGCCTACGCGACTTTCAAGATGGTGGATACTCCTGGATATTTCGTGCATCAATGGAGTGTCCGTCTCAAGGATGTAATTCCCACGAACTACGTAAGTGTTCCCTTTATTCAAACTACATAACCGTAAAGGCTGACGTATATCAGTGGGTTCTGATTTTTGGAGTCTGCTACTCTTTCGTCCTCCCGTTTCTCAAAATCGCCATCCTCGTTGAATGGTGTCGACTCTTCGTGCCGAAAGGCACACGAACAAAGAGCATCTTCTGGTGGGGTTGCATGGTCATTGGCTTTGTCCAGGCTACTTCCAACACCGCTATTGTTGTTGCTCTGAACATGCAGTGCAACCCGCATGAAGCTATCTGGGACTTTAGAATTCCCGGTGCAAAATGCTGGGACTTGCATAAGCTGCAGGTCGCATCTGCTACTATCCACTTGTGTTGCGATATTGCCATCTTTTTGCTACCCCAGCAGGTTATCTGGAAGCTGAAGATGTCTTGGAAGAAGAGGATGGGTGTGTCTGTTATCTTTGGACTGGGTCTACTGTGAGTCTGTGTCTTGAGCTCGTTATACAACTGCTAACAAGGATTCAGAGCCTGCGTGTCTGCTGCCTTCAGATTGGCTGTCACAGTCAAGTACGGCAAAGCCGCCGACGCTCTCTACGCCCTCGCTCCTCTAGTCTTCTGGGCCACCGCCGAAATGACCTGCGGCTTCTTCATCGTCTGCGTCCCCTGTATCCCCAAGATTCTCAAAGAAACCGGCGTCATCCGCAACATCAAGCGTGCATTCGGCATGAGCACCGCCCCGACAAACCCCAATACTGCAGACCGATATGGCAAAAATGGAACAAAGGGCTCACAGCTTTCCTCTACGGGCCCCAAGTCTTACTACAAGCTGGATGAGGATGGCGTACCACTTGGAACACTCAAAGGATCTGAGTCGACGGAGTATTTGCGGGATAATACCAATAATGGGCAGGGTATTACTCGAACGACACAGATCAAGATCACGCAGGATAATCGCTCAACAAGCGATTCGGAGGGCCATGCTGCGTTTCCAGCGTCTCAAAAGACCTGGGGTGTATAAAGCATGAGTCTTGGCCGATGTTGCATGAACAATACAACAATGGTCAGTCTGGAGGCATTGTTGCACTGTAAAGTGCTACGGTTAATGTAAGATTTTTGTATATATCTAAAATAAACGCCTGGCTAAACCTTCAGATACTGAAGGTTGATAATGAACAGAGAAAAAGTCTTGCACTTCTGCATTAACAATGCGCTGTCTAAGAGTCATGCTTGCTATTCACGAGTATAGCACAAGGGATCTGGTTAGAATGAGGCAATTCCAGGTTACATCGTGCATACCGAGACGCAGGTTATGTCTGATCGTCGTCTAAAAATCCCTATTCGACCAAGAACGAAAGCCTCAACCTTGACAGGAGGAAGAGAAAGAATTCGTAATGCAAACCAGTCATGATATGATGTTTGTCTTCACTGGGAGCAAAGTCTCATGAATTGTCTCCACCAAGCAAGGAATAATACGAATGGTAAGGTGATGGGCAGGGATGAGCGCTGATCTCTTCAGGGGTTGGGCCTGTCTTGATTTCCCGGAAGTTTTCCTAGCTTCCACTCCCGTCGCTCGCCTCGGAGGATTTAGCACAATTTACCCGACATATCAGCGTTTCCAAGTTTCAGCGTCGCGGCGCAGCTTTTCGGCAAATGCGAGAGTACAGGGTAAGTTACGGACTTTCGGACATTGGCTATCAACGGGGACAAGACCTTTCTGTGGAGAGTATCAGCAGCAGCCGACGTGGCAGATGCAGTGAAGTGGCCCTCGGCTTGAAGCCAGATTTAAGTTCGAGTTCATGTTTCGATTATCTCAGGGCGTGCCAGCCCGCGCTGCCTTGTTTTAGTTCGCCGAAGCCAACCTCTATGCAGCCAATCCAAGGGGCATCAACGTCAAACACCTTCCTTGTTGACTGGTGTTTTCGTTAATTGAGCCTTTTTCTGTCGTATACATGCAGGTCGAACTAGGTCTGTTCTGCGTCAAACTCTGTTAATGCATTAGTTCAACTCAGAAATATTTCTCCGAGGTCAACGTCTGTTTTTCGAAGGATTCCTCTGCAGTAGCTTCAAAGACTACTACTAGATAGGAATAATCATCCGTTTTATAAAATGCCTCGGAGACAATATGGTGGAGAAAGTGTACTACTTGGGGTTGTGTTATCAAACGACGGAGAATCTAGATCGGAACGTACCAGAGTAGTTGGCCGATTACTCCCCTTGAAAGATAGTGGTATGAGTCTTGGCACAGTAGAATACTAGAGTTGACTGTAGAGTTGGCCCTCCTGAATGCTTTCCTATCACCAAGGCAAAGCCGACAAGATGAGTGACATTGCAATCGTTGGATACTCGTTCAAGCTCCCGCAAGGTGTTGAGGATGACGATGCTTTCTGGGATGTTCTCGAGAACCGACGAAACCTGATGGCAGACTGGCCTGAAAGTCGCGTCAAGATAGATTCATTTACCAGTAACAAGCATCAGAAGGTAGTAGTTCTCATCAAGCACCTGGACCATGTCTGATACTGCTATAGTGGAATGGAAAGGGAGGGCATTTCATCATCGATGATGTCGCCGCCTTCGACGCCCCCTTCTTCTCACTCACGGCGAAAGAAGCTTCGGCGATGGATCCGATGCAGCGCTGGACATTGGAAGCTACTTACCACGCTTTCGAGAATGGTGAGATATCTAAAAGTCATCCAAAATGCAGAAGTACTTACTGTTTGTGTCGTAGCGGGCCTCTCAGTTGACAGTCTCAAGGGCTCTCGCACTGCCGTCTTCTCGGCCTCTATGCTGGAGGACTACAGCAGAATGACGGCCGTGGACCCAGATAACTTGGAGCGAACAGCTGTAACTGGAAGCACTGTCTCCTGTATCATTCCCAACCGTGTCAGCTGGTACTTTGACCTTCGTGGGCCAAGTATTCACGTCAATACTGCCTGCTCTAGTAGCTTGTCGGCTGTCGATATGGCCTGCAAAGCTCTGAAGAGCGGTGATGCTTCATGTGTAAGTCATAGCCCACCTCCACTCTATGATTGACTAATTTTCACAGGCTGTCGTGACCGGTGCAAACCTTCTTCTTGACCCAAGCATCTTTCAGGTTCTGGCGAACCAAGGATTTCTCTCGCCTGATGGCGTTTGCTACAGCTTTGAAGAGAGGGCCAACGGGTATGCACGCGGTGAAGGAGTCATTGCTGTTGTTCTGAAGCCTGTGCAAGCTGCGATTGAGAATGGGGATATGATTCGTGCCGTGATTCGGTCGATCGGCTCGAACCAGGACGGACATACGCCGATTCTCACGCAGCCGAGCTCGCAATCTCAGGAGGACCTCATGCGTCATGTTTACACGCAAGCTGGTTTGTCGATGAGCGAAACTCGATACGTTGAAGCTCATGGTAAGTGCTATATCGGAACGCTTCTGATGATGAACTGACAGTGTAATCAAGGCACTGGTACGCCTGTTGGCGACCCAATTGAGGTGAAAGCTGTCGGGCGGTGCTTTCAAGTGCACCGTTCTCCTTCAGAACCACTTTATGTGTATGTTGTCTCTTTATCTGGCGAAAGAAACGCTGACTAACGACCTGGGCAGCGGCTCAGTGAAAGCAAACGTAGGGCATCTCGAAGGAGCCAGTGCACTTGCAAGTCTGGTCAAATGCATCTGTAATATGACTCGCCATTAGATCAACGTAAAGGAGTTCCAAACTGACACTGCCAGTGATCCTCGAGAAAGGTGTCATCCCTCCCAATGCGCTTCTTCAGAAGATCAACCCAACTCTGAACGCAGAGACATACAATATTGAGGTAAGTTCATTCTGCGTAGTTCAGATGTTCTATTGTAACTGAGGTTGTGATAGGTACCAATGCAGTGTATCAAGTGGCCCGTTCAAGGCCTCCGTCGAGTATCTCTCAACTCCTTCGGGTTCGGCGGTTCAAACTCGCATATTGTTCTTGATGATGCACTTCACTACTTACAGGATCGCGGCCTCAGCGGCATCCATAACTCAAACCTCATACCAAGGCCTGTGACGAACGGCTATGCTGTCACCAACGGACATAGCGCAGCTCATACCAATGGTACCAACGGAACCAATGGGACTAATGGTGTAGCAAATGGCCACTCAGACGTCGAACTTCCCAAGCTTCTAGTATGGACTGCTGCCGACGAAAAGGCAGCCAAGCGCATTATCGAAGCTTATCACAACTTTTATAAAGAAAAGGTCTCAGGAAGTCGTAAGAAGCTGGACTATTTGGCATCTACTCTGTGTACACGCCGAAGTAACATGCTTTGGAGAGCCTCTGCTGTGGTTGACGGATCAGGAAAGCAAGCATTGTCACCTTCAAAGCCTATCAGAAGCAGCGAGGATCTTGGACTGGCTTTTGTGTTTACAGGTCAAGGCGCGCAGTATATCAACATGGGCTTTGGTCTCGAGCAGTACTCAGTTTACCACGAGACTCTCAAGAGGATTGGAGAAATCTACTCCAGCTTCGGGTGCTCGTGGAACCCATTTGGCAAGTACATTCTTTGAATCACATCGTATATGCTTGCTGACAGACATGATTAGACGAGCTAAGCTGTGGCGAAAACATCAACAAGCCGCAGTATAGCCAGCCGCTAGCAACCGCTGTGCAGATTGCCTTGGTCGATCTTCTTACCAGCTTTGGCATTACTCCAAAGGTAGTTATTGGTCATTCTTCAGGCGAGATCGCTGCAGCGTATGTATCATTAATACTCTAGAGGGTGAATGAGCTTACTAAGTCGTCCTAGATATGCATCGGGTGGGCTATCTCTGGAGTCCGCTTGCAGAGTGTCCTACTTCCGTGGTCTCTTGGCTGGAAAGTTAAGAGATGCCAACGAATCATCTCCAGGCGCCATGCTGTCCATTAACCTGGCACCGCATCACGTCTCGGAGTATCTGGAGAAAATAGGTGTCACTACAGTCAATGTTGCATGCATCAACAGCCCTCTCAACGTCACTCTCTCGGGGCCTGAAGAGTCCATCGACAAGATTAGGTCTCAGGCTGATCAAGATGGCATATTTGCGCAAAAGCTCAAGACCGGGGTTGCGTATCACTCACCATCTATGAAAGCCATCGCGAGCGAGTATCTTGCTGCACTCGGAGGACTCATAAAGAGAAAGGATGGGACTAGCATCCCACTGGTCTCATCTGTCACCGGCAAAAGCATTTCTCCAGAGGCACTGTCGACTAGTCAATACTGGGTTGACAATATGCTGTCACCCGTCCGATTCGCTGAAGTAGTGCAGGTCATTGCAAACAAGAACTCGGCACGCAAAGTTGGCTTGGGCAACATCACTGACTTGATTGAGATTGGTCCTCACCCAGCTCTTCGAAGGCCCGTGAAAGACACCTTGGATGAGATGCCCAGTGCGGCAAAGGGAGTAAGATACAACTATGTCTTGCATAGATCGCACCCGCCAGTCCAGACCACTCTGGAACTTGCCGGACAACTATTCTGCCAAGGTTATCCCATTTCCATATCGACAGCCAACCGAAAAAACACGAAGGAGAAGTTTATAGTTGACTGCCCCAAGTATCCCTTTGACAGATCACAGCGATACTGGGCTGAGTCACGTCTAAGTAGAGACTTCAGACTACGGGAGGTTGTCAAGGGAGAGTTGCTTGGGGTGAGGGTTTCTGACTGGAACCCACTAGAGCCTCGATGGAGGAATTTCTGGAGCATTGACTCGTCTCCATGGACTGGAGATCACAAAGTAAGTCCGATGGCAACGATGCCGAGACACCACTAATGCGGATCATAGATCAGCGATACTGTGCTGTTTCCAGCATCCGGTATGCTTCTGATGGCTATTGAAGCAGCTGAAGAGATGGTTTCATCCGGCCGCGCTGTGTTTGGGTATCTTATTGAGACAGCTGAGTTTTTAAGCCCCATCATTGTACCGGAGACTTGGGAGGACCGCCTCGAGACACAGGTTAGCCTGCGAGTGGCCAACAAACAACCGAATATGAAGTTCGATATTAACATTTCTACTTACTCGCGCAACGAGTGGGTTGAATGCTTTAAGTCAAGCATCTCAGTCGAATATCAGGACACTGACAGGAACGAGGAGCGACGAGTGAACCACGAGCACATCCAGAGTCTGTATCAGAAGGTAACCAAGACGTGTACTTCGCCTGTCGACTCTCGTGTCTTTTATCATGATGCGGCAGAGGTTGGACTGCAATATGGTGATTGGTTCCAGCTGATGCGCAACATCAAGTGGGACGGTAAGACCTCAGCGGTAGCACGCGTCGATCTGCCTCAGTCAAGCATCAATATCAGGAGCCTAGTTCACCCAGCCGTGCTGGATCAAGCTTTCCAAGTTCTTCGAGCTAGCTCAAGGCAACAGCCTGCAGCCAACGTACCAGTCAGGCTCGAGAATGCATGGTTCTCTTCCCAGGCGTGGCAGACACCCTCGGTTCAGTGGATGTCTGAAACTACTCCAACTGTCCATGGCTATGGGGAACAGGGCAAGGTCATTGCTTTGGGAGAGGACGGAGAGGTCCTTTGCTGCATCGAGAGTGCAGTTACATCTGCTGTCTCGGGTGGTATAACCCAAAAGGAGAAGAAGCTGGTTTATTCGATTGAGTGGAAGCCACAGTTCAGCATACTTGACTCCAACCAACTCACACGATTGTGCAGCGCCAACGCTGTGCCTAAGGATGACAGTGCGATCCTCACAAACCACTCGAAGCTCTGTCATACATTGGAGCTGGTAGCTGCTCGTGTACTGAAGCGTATCTACAAATCCAGAATTCCAGCAGATTTGCAACGTCATGTCGAGTGGATGGAACATCATGCCAGCAAGTTGTCAGCCGAACATCAGGATGAAGCAATGAAGATCAGTGATGAGGAGCTCGAGTCTCGTCTGGCTGAAGTTGACTCTGTCCTCCCAGCGTGGAAGTTATACACGACGTGTGCACGAAAGCTACCTGAGATTCTGTCCGGCAAGCTAGACCCTTTGCAGGTCGTCTTTGAGTCTGACCAGGCCGATATCTTCTACTCAGATCTCTTCCGGAACCTCTGCGCTGATGGCCAACTAAACTATCTGCTAGACTTGGCATCGCATGAGAACCCAGCTCTGAGAATTCTCGAAGTCGGTGCTGGCACAGGTGGAATGACGGGACATGTCATATCGGCTCTGCAAGGACGTGAAAGGCGTACTGGAGGACTGGCGTTCTCAGAGTATACGTACACCGACATATCGCCTGCGTTCTTTGAAACTGCGAGCCAAAGATGGCCAGACCTCAAGAGCCAAGGCCGCATCACTTTCAAGACCTTCGACTTGGATCGCTCCATTGACAGTCAAGGCTTTGAGCCAGGTTCATACGATCTGGTCATTGCAGCAAGCGTATTGCACGCGACTCCATATCTGGAAGCCACTATTCGAAATGTGCGCAAAGCTCTGAAGCCAGGTGGCTGTCTCATCCTCCTTGAGGTTATCAACCCCGATGACATCGCTACAAATTTCATGGCTGGGCTTGTGCCAGGCTGGTGGGTTGCTCGCGAGGAGTGGAGACCTCATTCTGCCGCGATCCCAGAGCATCTTTGGGATAAGTGCCTCAAGGACAATGGCTTTTCGGGTAACGATGTGGTGATTCGAGACTATCAAGATGATCAGTGTCACATTATGAGTGTCATCGTCACCACCGCCACCGAACCTGAGCAAGCAGTTGAGGAAAAGGCAAGCAAGGACCGTCTTATTACGCTCATCAGTGACAAGGCGCCAGCAAAAGAGAGGGAGCTTGCAGATCAAATTCGTGGACGAGTAGGTCCCAAACTTGAGCGACATTCATCCGTCGTTCCATTCTCACTGGGCCCAGTCCAGAGGGATCTCGCGAACTTCACAAACAACGACTGTGTCATCTGCCTCACCGAGGCTGGAGACAAACCTCTCCTCTCAGCTCTCTCGGAGGAACAGTTCAGCTGTCTTCAGTATATGATCAGCAAAGTCCCCAATCTTCTCTGGGTCACTTCAACGAACGTCAGCGACCCAGAGTGTCCAGACTATAGTGTTGCCCAGGGCTTCTTCCGCTCCATTCGTGCTGAGCAGCCTGATACGCACATCGTCACATTGGCAATCGAAGGCGAGATAGACGAGGGTTCACAAGCGGGTTTCATCTCCGAGGTCTACAAGACTGCATTCGCTACTGAAGCGCCGTCAAAAGAAGTCGAGTATATTGTTCGAGATGGTGTCATCACTACAGGCCGCGCGATTCGTGACATCAGCACTGATACCGCACTGCGATCCCTTGTTTCGAAGCAGCTACAACAGAAGCCTTGGGGCGAGGGGCCAGCGTTGAAACTTGGTATTAGCCAGCCAGGATCACTCGAGTCACTTCGGTTTGTTGAGGACGACTCCCTGGCGGAGGAACTCAGTCCTCTTGATGTCGAGATCGAAGCAAATGCCTGGGGTCTAACCTCTCGCGATCTTGACATTGCCCTTGGTCACCCTGACAAGCGGACCGAGAAGTTCGGCAGTGATTGCGTTGGTGTTATCACCCGAATTGGTAAAGATTGCAGCACTACCATTCGACTAGGAGATCGCGTCGCTATGATTTCTCCTGGCTGCATGAGCAAGTACCCTCGCGCCAACGAAGCATGTGTCTTCAAGATTCCTGACTCACTGAGCTTTGCGGATGCTGCCTCGGTCATCCTCCCTGGCTTGACTGCCTGCCATTCAGTTCTCAACGTTGCGCGCCTCCAAAAGAATGACAAGGTCTTGATTCATTCAGCTGCAGACAGCTCAGGTCAGATTGCAGTCCAGGTCGCCCAGACGGTGGGTGCCCAAGTCTTTGCTACTGTCTCGACAGCGGCTGAGAAGCAACTACTAATCGACACCTTGGGCCTGACCTTAGAACATGTCTTTAGCAGTGACTCTTCATTTCTTGCCCAAGACGTGATGAGAGTCACTGAAGGAGAAGGTGTTGATGTGCTGCTCGACTTTTCCCGGGGCACATTTCGCACACCACTGTCTTGCGTGATCGATGGGGGACGTGTTGTCAGCGTTGGTAGTCAGCACAAGTCAGAGGCTTCCAAGACAGCTGCGGAGATCATGTCAAGAAATCTCACCTTCTCGTCCATTGATATCTTGCGTCTGAAGCCCAAGGTCTTAGGCCAACTGGCACAAACAATGATGCAGCTCCCAGCTGAAGATAAGGTCCAGCCGCCCCAACCATTGCCGGTCTTCAAGGTATCTAGTATCAAAGACGCCTTTGAGAAACTGCAAGAAGAGGAGACCATCAATTGTGTAATAGTAACAGCAGAACAAGGGGATTTAGTTCCGGTAAGTCAATCCCAGCCTGGTTACCAAATTATTAGCTAACTCACAACTCTACAGCAATTTTTTCAGGACCGCCGCCCATGGACATTTGATGGCGCTTCTACCTATTTAGTAGCGGGTGGATCTGGCGGTCTCGGTCGAGCGATTATCAGATGGATGGCCGACAGAGGAGCCAAGCACCTGATTGTCCCCTCTCGATCTGGCGCAACATCTCAAGTAGCTGCACAGTTGGTAGCCGAGCTGACATCCTGCGGCGTTAATATTGTTGCGCCCAAATGCGATGTATCCGTTCGCGAAGATGTGGCAGGCATGCTGGAAGACTGTGCTCGCACCATGCCTCCTATCAAGGGCTGCATCAACGCCGCAATGGTTCTCCAAGATGCAATCTTCCAGACCAACATGACATCTGAACAGTGGAACCTCACAATGCGTTCCAAGATCAATACCTCCAAAAACCTGCATGAATTTCTTCCCAAAGATCTCGACTTCTTCGTCCTCCTCTCTTCTCTGGCAGGTGTAGTTGGTCAGATGGCCAGCGCAAATTACGCCGGTGGTTGCGCATACCAAGATGCACTGGCCAAGTTTCGGAGAGAGCATGGTCAGAATGCACTGTCTCTTGATATCGGATGGATGATGAATATTGGTATCATTGCTGAAAAGGAAGCATATCAGCGCCAACGAGAGACGTCGAATGATATGCAGCCCATCGATGACAAGGAGTTACTTGCGCTACTGACTCTGTGCTGCGACCCGAACAATCCGATCGAGTTACCGCCGCTATCTGAGGGACAGGTCCTTTTCGGCCTCCGAACACCTGCCGATATCCTCAGTGAAGGCCAGCAACCTCCAGCTCTGCTAGAACGACCTCTTCTCAGTGCATTCTCATACTTGGTGGGTGGTAGCAATACGCCAAATCAAGCGGCTGAACCCGCTGAGAACGCGAGAGATCTATTCCAGAGGTCGTCGGATGCCAGAGAGCGGCAACAAGTCGTCATTCGAGCCATAGCAGCGAAGCTTGCGCGAGCTATGTCTATCTCACCCAATGATGTTGAGCCAAGCAAGCCACTTTCGTCATACGGAGTTGACTCACTGATGGCGGTTGAGTTGAGGAATTGGATGAACAAGGAGTTCAGTTCTACAGTTGCTGTTTTTGATATCATCGGAAGGGTATCCATTGCCGGCGTCGCAGAGGTTATCGAGAGTCGGAGTTCGATTTAGAGCCAGCTTGTGACACTTCAAGGTCCATAAACAAAGATATATCACAAAATTCGGAGATGATTAGTTAATTCCTATAGTACCCCTAACCTATCCGCACCCCCGCGTTGAAGGCTACTACCTAGCGATAGCGAGCCGCCCGTTGGGAGTATGGTTGACGGTGACGTTAGGACCACTGTTGGCGAAGTCAATGCGCAGCGTATTTCTCATCCGAGCTACGTCCACCAACTGACCGACTTGCATAGGCTGGCCGACAGAGATGAAGAAGACGTTAGATGGCTGAATCTGGTACTGGTTACCAGGCTCGGGCCTGAAGGTGGCAATTGGGGCGCTGCTAGCACCACCGGGGGATCCGGCGACACCAATGAAGAAGTTATCTACATACCAACGTCAGCTTATCTAAACTACCTATGTACGAAGAGCAGAGAGAACTCACTGTCAGTAGCCATCTCGAGTGTAAAATCGTTGCCGGTGTCGATTTCAAAGGCATTCACGAAAGCAGACTCTGCTGGAGCTCTGCCAAAAGAAGGTACCTGTCCGTTGACTACCACCATATTTAGCGTCGCTACAGGTATCTGACTTCCGTCAGGAGACTGCGAACCGAGTTTCACTGCCTTAGTCTGAATGATCTTGACTCGACCACCATCCATGGCGCCACCCCTCTAGGTGCCGACGATGCCATAGTATGTCTTCCACACCTCGAACTCGGTAGTCGCGCCATCGGGACAAAACATTTGTCCACACATTGCTCTTGGAGACGCCCGTGATATCAGGCTTCTCGCTTAGGAGGTTATAGTTCCGGTCACTGCCGGTGTTTTTGGATGCGGATGATGTATTTGTTGCCCATTTTTGCAGCTGCTTAATATTGTAATGAATAAATATTCTCAATGTTAGAAATTTTAGCTACTGTTCAGACTGATGACAGGGTAACTCATAACCTGCGAAACGGACATGACATTTTATATGGCCAGTCGTGGAGACATAGTAAAGCCCACATCGACCATATCGCCTAATAAAGCAGCCAATGGATCGCCGCTCTTTGCGCCAGTAAGCACTATGCTCAGTTGGAAGTGATCCAGATTCAATAATGCACAGCTGGCTTAGCTCTGTGCTAGCTCGAATGGTGCGGCAAGGCTACCGGATTTCAGTAAAATTGGGACTTCTTTTTGAGGCTGTATCATATAGGATATCTAAGCGTTTAAAACGCACCCTTCATAAATGTACATATATATACTGGATACCTAGAGCTAACTCCCTTGGATATGAACGATGACCTATGTCATAAGGAAGTGTATTGAAGAATTCCAAGCTAATAATTTATCCCCTATCTACCTAGTTTACATCCCTTTTTCTTGGAGGTGCAAACGTGTCTACGATACTGGATAGAAGCTGTAAAAGGGCGAGTACGACAGGAACCCGAAGGAGTCGCTGTATGGCCTCGAGATCTGCTTGTGGCGTTGAAGGCGCAACTTCTCCTTTCACAACTTTCACAGCCGAAATATCGTCCGAGCTTTCCTCGTCTGCCACCACCGTGTTGGATGAACTTTGAGAACAATCTTGAGGGAATCGATGTGCCTTTTGGACTTGAGGTGGGCGAGAGAGACAATCCATGACTTGTTGAAGTTCTGTATCTTCAAGACATGGTGTGGGCCTTGAGTCTGAGGGAGGTGGTGAGGTTGGAAGCCCATTTATAGGTTCGTCTGCAAGAAAAGTGTCTTTTTGAAATGGTGTTTTTTCAGCTCTATGTGGGCCATTTTCCTGGCTGAACGAAACCTCACGAGTATCGGGCATTTGGATAGGTGTTGATTCGTAGTTCTCCAGCCACATTTTCTTAGGCAGTTGCTGTGCGTACTCATCTAAGGGGAGATCGTACGACTTCCACTGTTCGAAGCTGATCAGTGTCGTTGTTTGGCCCTCAGACGGGTTCAAGCCGGATCCGAATTTCAGCTTATTCTTGATTCTTTGATTCCACTTCTCGAGCCGGCCTTCAATATCAACTCTCATCAGGAAAGGTTTTCCAGAGTGCTGGAAAGCAAATGCGGTGTGCACACAGCTGCTACGAAATGCTTGGCTTTCGAGCTCATTAGCTGTGAGATACCACTTGAGAGTTTTGTACGACGACGGGCGTTTGCCAGCTAAAACCTGGCCCATGAAGGTCCATCTGGAAGATCCTTTGAACGCCTTTTCCGACTCGCCACCGATACCACCAACGCCGAAACCCATTGCCTGGACCTCAGGAGTCATGCGCATGGTTCGCCTAAATTCGGTACTCTTTTCTTCACCCAGAAGCGGCTGGGGGCCAAAATAGCCTGTCATTTCAAGAGAACAATTGGAGTTGTGGTATAAATCTCCGTCATCACTCGTTAAAGAGCGAAGACACTCGTCGCTGTCATCAAGCGTAACGGTGACCGTCGCACTTTTAACTTTGCAGCCTTGGGGTGGGCCAAAATTAAGGTCAAGATAGAGGATACCTGCTGGGAACTGGCTTTCACCCAAAACACCCCATCTTGACTTCTTAAAGAGAAAACGACAGTCCACTGTCATTTTTCCAACGCATCTACTTCCAACACTGGCATGGCCTGATGAGAGATGGTCAAATCGCAGGAATGGCTCATAACGCCCAAATCGCCGTGGTGCGCTGTAAAGAGCAGGCTGAGACATCTTTTCTCGTTGCAAAGTGAAAATTAAAATTGGTTTGAGGGTAACAGTTGAACTTTGATCTTTCTTGAAATTTGAGATGGGAAGTAACCGAGAGAAAAACAAAAAAGAGGAGCATGCCGCAGCCTGATTTTGGGACTCGAGGCACCCTGACTTCAGCTCATGCACGTAAGACTCGTATGGGTCGAGTGACATAGTTTCAACCCATTTCATTGGAACAAACAGACAGATATAACGACAAAAGTGCAGTGCCAAGCCACGGAAGGGGCGCGGCCGGCAGATCCCAACCACTTCGTCTAGCTGTGACTGGCGGCCTGATAATAAATCTTTGGGGTGGTTTTCCACCCAGATTCTTGATTTCTTCCCTGTTAAGTTACTAGGCCATTTGAAACATAACATCCTACTTCACCAAACATGAGTCGTATTGCTTCCCGACAAGTCCCCGAGCCAGGAAAAAAAGACAACAAAAACGATGCACCTGCAAGGAAGGGTCTAAAACTCTGGGAGCAGGTATCGAAAGAATTGCGACCAAATCCTGAAATGAGACTCGTAACTCGTGACCACCAATTTCAAGATGATGAAGATAATTTTAGCGACCGTCACTACAGGGTTTCTCACAGGAGCCCATCATCGTCGAGAGCAGGTCGGGAAGCCATCATAATACGCCGACCCTCCAGCAATTCAGATGAAAGGCACGGAAAGGATAAGGCTGTTCAACCAACCCAGACAGACCTTGACGCCATCTACAATAGTATTCACTCCAAAGACGTCACAGTTCATGTCGAACTCGATATCGTGAGTGATTTGGATGACGAATTGGAAGAATTCAATAGGCTGGTCCGTCAAGGTTGGTTCAAGAATGCGCAGTCCTTCTTCGATCAGTATCTTGCGACACACAAATCCAATCCGTGGGTTTTTGTACAGTTCGCCGAGATGCTGATTGAAATGGGCGACTACAAGTCATTCCACGAGTTGAACCTCGACCAAATTTTCTTTCAGCATGAAACGACTACCATCGAAAGTGACGCATTGGAAATACTCGAACACAACTGGAATCTGTTAAAAGTAACTGCACTAAGCCACAGCCACTTTTTTATGAAGCAAATAAGGGATCAAGTTCCAACACTAGGCGAGATGGTTTCACTATTGGACAATCCTGGTTCGACAGAGGTAAAGTGGCCGAAGCTGGCACAAAGATGTGCAACCTGTTAACCGACTTTGACAAGATCAAGATTGTCTGTCTCGTAATGTACACTGCTGAGATTCGAGCCATGAGTGACACCTATTCTCCCCTCTATTCCGAAACAAGATTAGGCGTTCGGGCCGATTGGGAGAAAGTATATCAGACTCTCCTGAGGCAAGGCCGTATATGAGATTTCCGAGACCTGTTCCTAGCACTCTGGAACACTAATGGCACAAACAAAACTGAGAAGATGCTGTTTGGCGAAAGAAGCATGTTTGAAGTTATCCTCACTGATTGGTCAGCCCATGAGGGCGATGGGTCAACACTGCTTGCATTGTTGGACATCTTGGCCCATCTGATGATTGAGTCACCTGCCAGTAAGGAAATTACGCCGTTTCTTGAAGCGTGTCTGTTATCAGCTCACGATATTGGCGAATCGATCATGAGGAGGTTCCCCGATGGTACCCGCACCCGGCCGTTTCTCTTATGGATCCTTGCTCAATCATCGATCTCTGCCCGACGGGAAGATGGGCAGCCAATGGACATCATCGATTCTGATAACTATGGAGGTATGGCTTGGTATCCCACTCATATCGGCCTTCCTTTCTATATCCCTTTTCGCCAGGAAATACCAGACTGGGCACCCCCAGACTTGACTTCAGATTCCTTTCGACCCCTTGAGATGGTTATGAAGGCTGCAAAGGAGAATAAGGACTATGTTACACAGGGACTTTGTCTCAAGGAAATTGCTGTGCGGAGTCGAGATCCAACTGCAACGCTTTCGGAGCTTGTTCAGCTCGAGAAAGAAATCCCACATGACAATCAAGGTTACTTGCAAACTTGTTTGGCAAATTATCTCGTCTCTAAGGACAAAGGCAGTAGGGAACGACTTCTCAAGGAACTGGGTGACGTAAAACCTTCCGGCAGCCCTGAGGAGCTATTGTTTCCGAAGAGGGCTTGTGCCAGGGACATCATTCATGAGGCTTTGAAGCCGCTTCCAAAGGGCCATAAAGCGAATAGCATAGAGTCAGGCGCTCGGTACTGTGGAAGCTCAGATGACCCTTTGTGGGAGTTCATCAGGTATCATTCAAAGTACTTTGAAGACTGCCATAGGGGCTGGCATCGTGGATCACCCCCAGAGAGATCCTTTGTCCCTATCCGTCGCGAAACTGGTAACGGATCGCTAAGTGAGACGCTGGATGACCCAACACAGTCCCCAGATCGGATGGAAGATAGGGAGCTGCGTAATGAGACTAGCGAGATGCATTCTACGGCAGGTTCACCTTTGGTTCGTCGCCAAACCTTCATGCCAATCCTTGAGGATGTCTCGGACCACGGTGAAGAGTATCAACCGAACTAGGCACATGGATTTTGGTAGGTAAAAAGGACTTTGAGCCCTGAAATTGATAAACAAATCCTTCCATATCATGAGGGTAGTCAATACCCCACAGCTGGAAGAAACTTCCATGTTATTCATGGCTTGACTAAATACCTAATTGTTAGGTAAATCTAAGTAAGGTTTAAGTAGGCCTTAGGTTATTTTTTATTTTAGGTTTGCAAGTTAGCCTTAAACGGTATATCTAAGTATCTCTAAAGTCTAATATAATTTAAATATTTATTACCCCTTAGCAGGTAAAGCTTTATTAGGTTAATATTATTATAGTTAGCTGCCTTAATTGCAGCCTAAACCTAGCTATATATAAGCTAGCTGGAGAGCCTTACTTATTCTTTAGCTGGCCTTAACCTTCTTTCTATAACCTACTTTAAAGGATATTATACTTTAATCATCTACTATGTAGTAAGTTATCTGATCTGACTTCTAATTACAACTGCTAATAGTATTATAGTTGCCTTATTATAATACCTGTTATCCGAAGAAGCCTGCGGCTACCTGGGCCTAATAAGCCCTATCTAATGGAAGACTATAATATGATCTGAATGATTAAGAGAGCTCTCTTGAGCGCTGAGCAGGGCAATCGCGATAGGCTTCATGCGAAGGCCTTAGGTTATATAGCTGAAATATATGCAGAGTATTTTCTAACCTGCCTGACTAGATAGAAGCTGTGAAAGGAGTATGGTATGACCCTTTGACTTGGAGCCCAAATGTGGGCAATGACTACCTGCCACAAAACAAATCTCGGGGGGTCCATTTGCTGCTTCAGCTGCCTTTTCCGCTTCCCATTGCTACACGTGCCGGCCGGTTCCTTTTAGTACGTTTGGGAAAGACCAACGACATACCAACTCAACCGACTACTTGGTACGCACCAGGATCAGTGCTTGAGTGCCTTCAACACTGAGTGGACGAGTGAACTACCTAGTTTACTTGAACATTGACTGGACTATCACTTTTGCAAAGATGGCAGCTGGCCAGTGTTTAGTTATCGTTATGAATTGTTTTGGGCCAAAGAACCTAGAACACAACTACTACTAAATACGTTCTGTGTGGTGATATAAGCTCTCAGCCACGGGTCTCAACTGAAAATAACACGTCTCCCAAGAGGACCCCTCTAAGCTGGAGTCTGAACCTCCAACTCCCTTGGACGTGATACCTCGGTATCCGAAAGTATGGTCATCCCAGACTCACAAGAAGACCCCTCGGACCTCCTCTAAGTCCTTGCTACCATATGGAGAGTGGATTCTGGCAGATGGGGTAGAAATAACCCGTAAACCAAGAAGACTATAGGCAAATATATGCTAAAGAATACCTAAACTTTAGGTAAATTTAGGTAAATTTAGGTAAGACTTAGGCCGTCCTTAGGTCATGTGCCCGAAAGGTGTGTCGGTTGTTTTCTGACCTGCCTGGCTGGTCCGACAGCGGTAAAGTAACCGAAGCTGGCATAAAGATGAAGCAATATGTTAACTGAATTAAACTAGATCAATACTGCCATGCGACTGAGATGCGAAAACCAAGACCGGTAAGACCCAGTTGAGGAAGGAGATGAGTGATGAGCTGATGAGAGTAATGGGAATCTAGATCAGACTGGAATAGCCGTATAGAACCCAGCACTCTAGGAGGTTGGCAAATTTGCTGCCAAAGCAATTGAGGGTAATAAAGAGAGCTATGGGGATGAAGGGGTGCAGCCGTAAATAAGGCCAGCAGCGCCTATTTATCACAGGACCTCCTTGGGAGGGGAATCTGCACCATAATAGGCAGAGATCCGAGTCATGAGAGACAATTATTCTCCCTCTATTCCAAATCACAATTAGGTGGTCGGGCCGATTGGTAGAAAGTATAAATTCTGCTCTTCGACACGAACCAGGTCGATACGGCACCGTTGTTCCAGCCCCCAAGGGTCTATACATAAGGCACGGGGCCTGGCCCCCAAGCTCCGCGCGCGCAAAGCGGGTTCAGGACGACAAAGTGGCAGGATTTAGCTGAATATTGTAAATCGTAATTAAGTTATGTGAAACAAATTTGCGAATCTGATCTTTATTGGTTCACTCGGACATAATTTCATGCCGACTCACAAGGCTGAGCATAGTAGGTTTAGACTATAATCTCATGCGGCGGGGCTGAGTAAAGGAACGATGTCACAGTCAGCCTCGGTTTCTAAATCCGAGCGAACCAATAAAATGTGAATCATTCTCTTGAAACAATCCTATTATTCTCTTGAGATCTACAATAGAACCGTGGATTAGATAAAAATAGCCGTAACAGGTGCTGAAAGAATTCCGACTGGGAAGTATAAATACCTAGGCCAAGCTGGTCCTGTTCAGTGGATTAAAACAACTCATTCACAACTACAACTTTCCAAACCAGACTACAATTAACAAATACTTCTCTCAAATATATCCCTTCTAAAACTCTCAAAATGCATTACACTACCATCCTTAGCACTATCCTTTCTCTGGCTGTTGCCACCAGCGCCAATGCTGCAGCACTCAACCCCCGCGCCACGCGCAAGGCCAACGAGTTCGTTAGCGACAACTGGTAAGTTATCTAACATGCCAGATAGTCCAAGTCATAACTCTTATTAACTATCCTTTTAACTAGTGCTCAAGGAACCGCCTCTTACGAACACAACAGCGGCTTCATTAACGATGTCACCATGGATGACACTAGTAACTCTGTTTACTTCGCTGCGGGTCCGTGGTTCTACTATGATGGCAAGACTGAGAATGGTGGTTCTTGCACAGGAAACCTTTTGGGATCTTGGGCTAATGATAATGATCACCCTTGTGTTAATTTGAACCAACGAGGTGGTGATTCTCGTCGCATCAGATGTGTCCGATGGAACAACGGTATCTAGCCTTTGACTGTTACCGACTCCATGCAGGAACTTGGGCGTAGGACTTGAGACTCGCAAAGTCCTCTTCCCTACAAGCGTCCATTGCTATGCTGTTGCTGGACTTTGATCATAGATATCACAAGCAAGAGATGCAACGAAACGATATCTAACAATTTTGTATCTCTAGTTGGATACGCTACTTAGATAGTTAAAATATTCGTTTGCCATGAGAAACAATCAAAGTCTTCTGAAGTTTTCTTCAACTCCAAGGCCCTCGGAACCCATGTGTCTCAGTTGGGAGGTTGAATACACAGTCAGAATGTTGAATCACACTTACCGAATCCCTCTCCTGAGGAAAGATCCTCGTGGTCGCTTGGGTTTCCGGAGCAGGGCACTCCGCAAATTCCGCAGTATACATTTTCTGGCATTTTCGCGATGATGATGGAGCAGGGAGGACACGAACGCGTATGGCTTCAGTTAGGTATCGTAACGCGATGGAATTAACACGTGCGATAGGCCGATCAGGTTCAGGGGTGATTTAGTGCTTAATAACACATAGTCCTGTCAACCCAACGGTCTGGGTATTGAGGAATAGTCATCTTATGAACTACAAAGCACAACGAACCTTGGTCTAAATGGTATCGGCTGCTGGCATCTGCGGTGGGATCCCCGTGATTGTCTGGGCGGCCCGCTAGCCTCTCAAGATACTCAAACTTCGCCATCAGCTCGGGAGCGGCTTCAAGAAGCGAAGGAAGAGGAAAAGCACCTAGATGGAATTCCGGACTAATCCACTTCTTCGTATATTACTGAGCAGATATTGCGCGTATTTCAATGAACTGATAGCGCGTACAGCATCCAAACGGCACCCACTATGCCCATCACTTCTCATGTCTTTGTGGGATACCTTGCGGTGAGGCGGATTCGGTTTTACGTTGATAATACAGGGGACAAACGGTAGGCGACTCGAACTGTATTGATTTAAAAGGTTCTCTTCATATAATCCATGGTTCCATTGAATCTATTGGTCTGAATGGTCTAAGAGATAAATCGTCACACCTAGAAGTGGACAAGAAGCGAATTAATTTTGATGTGCTCTTCACCCTAACATAACAGGGACCGGTTACAGCCATGCAATCTAATTTTCTAGATGCAGACATGACCATGAAATCATAAGTCTTGCTATGGCTATTAGTACACTATCTCCTAGTTTCTAGCAGCTTGTCTCAGAGATCTTACCGAGACGGCGTATAGTGTCAGTCTAAACACTTCCACGGCATTGAAAGATCGGGTTGCATCCACGAGTATATCCGTCATCAGCCTGGTTAGGAGCTTTGGGAGGAGCCTTCAAGCCTTCGTAGCTGATATGTCCGTTATCAGGAACTGCAACGGGCAGTGCCAATGTGCCCGAGATCATGGCGAGAATAGTAACAGCGAAGAACTTCATGTTGAAAGAGAGACTTGGGGTGAGTTGTTGAAAAGAATGACTTGGTGAAGAGTGATACGATGGGAAGAAGAACGGGGATAAAACCGATATAAATAGCCTTTCTAACGTCGTATCACTTTAAGACGACAGCGGGACCGTTAAACTTTATTAAACGATGACAGTTATGTGTGTGGTCTGGGGAACGAGATATTGAGTTTTGACACATCATACTTACGAGTCATGTCTTTGAAACTTAATTCAACTCAACGGTTATAACTGCCGGAGTTAATGGCTATCTGTGCCTCGTAGTTGCTCCAGTAACAGTTACGTAACGTGGCTTCGACTTGAATGGTCTGATTAATTTATGGAATTACTTACCTCATTTCTGGGTCCTTCGCTATCTGATTAACTTTCAATGTCCACTATCTCCACTCCGTGTTCCTCCTGAATTATCTCTCGACTCGTCGTCAGCATCTGAAGGTTCTCACAAATACCCTCCGTCGGTGAACCCAATTGCTTCATCAACCGCAGCGCAGGAAGTCGAATGCTCAGATCAGGGCATTTTATTATTGTAAAGAAGAGCATTGGAGTATATGCAAGTTCAAAGCTGGACTGTTTAGTAGACCTTTGACTTTGCCAGCTCGCTAGTTGTAGCACCTGGCGAAATGTCCCCATATGCTCAGCATATCGGAAGTCGGCACATAACTCGAGATAAGAAAGCTTGAGTCGCATAAAGAGTGATCTCTCCTGCGCTTGGTACAATAAAGAAGTCGTATCGACTTCGAGCTTTTCGAATAACGTTTGCCAGGTCTGTAGATGAGTGCCGACGGTGTTGTACTCCTCTGTCATATCGAAGACAACTCCGCGATGTCTCATGTGGCAGAGTCGTACCACTCGGTTGAAGATGTCATCCATCATGTATTGTGCATCCTCCATGCAGTAGAACTTGGTCGGTATCATGTATGTCAAGGCTGGCATGCTTTCGCTCTCAATGTCCTCTGGGCCAAAAAGCATGGGCACAGCGGTCATGCGTCTGAAGACAGGCATTAAATACCGTCGAGCCCACGGATTGCTGCACTTTTCCATGATTGCAAGACCATGTTGGCAGTGTTGCAACGCAATCTTGTTATTGGCAAGAAGGTACTCAACGCAGATGAACAAGATACACACGAGTAACACCAAAGGCTCGCTATGTATAGTCTTAAGCCGTTGAATTGCCGATGTGTAATGCTGAAGAGCGAACCTCTCTGTATACGGCGCCACATTCTTTCCTTCAGAAGACTCGAACAACGAGCTTATCGATAAGATGGTATGTTTCACAACGGCCTCTGACTCGCTGAGCTGCATCACAAGATGGGTCCAGAAGTAGCCATCCCTGGCGCTCGACAACCGCGGCGAAATAACACTGTGAAAATATCGAAGCGCCCTCCGTTCCTCAACAGGAAGCAAGGCTTGTGGATTAATAGCAGAGACAGGCGGCAATAGCATCCGGCCATGCGCCACATCTCGCGGGTTGATCTTCTGCATAAGCGCGTAGCCGTCGCATTTCCGACCAGTGCTTGTGCAGCGATGACAAGCGGGCTTTTTCTCATCGCATTTGACTCTCCGAATTCTAGAACAAGATCCATTAGAGCGGGCACTAGTGTTTCAGAGATTGATTCTGCTTTACTTGCATGTTAGACAGCCTGTCTTTACCTTGCAGTGCGCTTGTCGCATGTTTTAATCTGATAATCTTGGCGTAAGCACGACGGAGATTTGTTAAACGAGGACGCCAATGATGTGTTGTTCTAGACGCGTTGAAGGATTTTGGGCCTGCTTTTAAGGAATGCAGATTTCGCTTGAGGTTTTCGGCGGGTTCGGCGCTGGTAGGAATATCATCCTTGTTCAGAAGGCTCTGTAATTTCGAAGACAGTTAGGATCGACAGGTAGGCTTTGACTGTTTTGGGGGCTAGGTGTTTCAAAATGCGAGCATGCCAATGAGATTAGCTCGGTTGTCTTTGTATGGGCCTCAGCAAGGATATGTATAGCCGGGGTGCTACGTTGTGCTCTAGGTTAAGCTGGCAGGCTTGAGAACTTCAAGAGCATTTATTGCATTATATTATTCAGGTCAGCAGTCAATTGTTTGGAACTATCTCTTACCACTTATTTACATCTTGAAAACTTGCGTTGCCCTTTTTCCTCTGCTCGCTGGTTTGCGTGGGGTCGGAACTAGGAAGAATGAAGATCCGTGGACATAGTCATAGGCAGTTGTTGAGCAGAGAACAAACGCTAATACGCTCACATCAAATCGAGGCCAACTTCTCATCCGCTAAGATTAGAGTGAATTGGGATTATTTAATCCATTGGCTCGAAATATCCCGATGATATACTGCAATAAATCAAATCAAGACCAAAAAAGGCCAGCTTCACCTTTCATCTAGACTTTCACCCCTCACGTGGCTTCTGACCGCTTCCTATATACCGGACTGTACGGGAAGAACAAATATTCCACTATGAGGAACCGACGTGCGTGTGATGCTTGCCGTCAGCGAAAGGTGAGTTGCTCTCCAGATTATCACTAAACCTTCGCTGTGTAAATAGGAGTAGATACTTACATTGCACGACGGCATCACTGATTTGACCGTACTAGATTCAATGTGACGGTGATGCTTCCAGCCCTACACAACAGTGCAACTGGTGTAGCTGCCACGGGATGATATGCACATTCCATGGACTGAGGACAAAGGTGGTAAAGAGCCTGTAGGTCAAATTTGTCCGTTTCTTCTGCCCCTCGTTTCTCACCGTATCCAGACCAAGTCTGGGGTTTAAGGACGGCCAACCTGGCCGATCTGAACGTGCCGAGAATGACCCATCATCCGACGGCATTGGTGCAAGGTCGGAACTCCAATCGATTCCATGCCATCCGACGGTGGTCAATTGGGTGGCGCCGAAAGGCTCGCCCACTCTCTACGCCGGACTTCTCATGGGCCAGAATCGCTGCCACACTGGCATCCCCTTCTTCACCAAAGGAGACGAGGAATGGATTAGTTCGCGCACTGGTGGAGAAGCCAACTTTCAAATATTCACAGCACTCCGTATGAGACAACAAACCCAGCTGTCAGACTCACCTCACATATCCGCCCACGGAGCAAACGGCGATTTCGGCGTCCTTCCATCGCGAGGCATTACCAAGGCGTTCTTGGATGCATTTAACCAATCCTTTCTGAGATTGGTATTCCCGGTCGTCGACTATACGCTGTTCCAGGAAACCATTGCTGCGGCCTATGAAGCCAGCGACGCCCTGTCGTCGCCGAAGCAAACCGCCGCAAAGGTATGCGTGTTGGCCTTCATCTCTATGGTGGGGGTTTTGTTCCACGGAAAACTGTCATTCCTTCCCGCAATGGACTGGGATGCGTGTTACCACGCGACGCGCTCCTTTCTGCCAAACATGCTCGATGAAGCCACCTTGGAAAATCTCCAAACAGTCTTGATGCTGGTAAGTCTGTGTCGGTCTTAATCCTACTTGGCTGGGAGATCAGTGCCTAAAAGCTGCTAGTACCTTCGCCAACGTTACATCGGGCACTCAGAGTCGAGCGTTATTCTCCACTCGATCGCTTGCCGAATGGTATTCATACTTGGTGGAAATACCTATACAGAGACCCAGGCTTTCAGAAACGAGATTACTAACCAGGAACGACAAACCCGTCACATCCGGCTGCTCTTCTGGCATTGCTACATCTTCGATAAGGATATCGCCCTTCGGACAGGACAGCCGCCATTCATATCTGATATGCACTGCGATCTCACCTTCCCCAAAGGCTACGTGGAAACCCAATTCGTACCGCCTCTGCCAGGGCACCATGTCTCTTCGTCTTACTATGCGGACGAATCGCTGGTTCCCTTTCTTCCAGGAGAGTTGCGACTGAGTATGCTTAAGCATAAAACATACGAGTTATTATACTCCACTAAAGCACTCGCCAAACTAAACTCTGAAATTATCCGTGCTATTCTGGAGCTGGATGATGAGCTTGAAAGCTGGCGATTATCTATCCCAAGGGTGGTCCGCCCTGCCCTCTCGGTGTCTGATGTCAAGCAAGCACTATCAGAGCTCCCGATTCAACACCGAATGCAGAATATTGTTCTGCACCTCGAGTACCACTATCTTGTGGTGACGATTCACAGGGCAGGTGCCAGATGTATTGCGGACGATTCAGAAACTCATCATGATGCCGATGAGCGCTACACAGCAATTAATTCAAGTATCGCCTTATGCCTTGAAGCGAGTCGGTCAACTTTATGTTATCTCCACGCGGTCATCGATGATCTAGCTGGTGAAATGTTCTGGTGAGTTCATTGGCTACTCGAGGAGTGTGAAATAGGCGAGAGTTCTTCTAACGTTACATCATTAGGGTTACTGTCTTCTATCCCACAGCGGCGGCGATGATGCTGTTCCTTCATGTTTTAGCTGAGCCATTGGCTCCACACTCAAAGTCAGATTTAGAACTGCTTAGCTCAGCAGCAGGCCTGATTCGCAGTATGCCAATACTTAGACTGACAGCGAGTGAGACTGGTCATGTGCAGTTAGTAACAGATTTTATAACAGAACTGGCCCGTCTTGGTAATTGCGCTGTCAGCAATGCCGAAAAGGAAGCGGAGTTGAGTACTTCTCATGTTAAACGACAGCCGACAGACCTAAAGGACGGAGCTGTTGAGTGACTTGGTCAATTCCAGAGTGTCCAGATCCTGTATCTCGCTGAAGCTCACACCGTCTACGGCACCAAGAGATAGCAGATTTCATTGGAGGTATCGTCGATTATGCCATAGAGCCAATTGAAGCTGATGAAGTGAATAAAAAATGAAGACTGGTTTTTACATGCTCTTATCTCTTTGATCAGCAGAAGGCAGACAACTCAGTGAGAGAGGTGAGAGAAGCGATGGCATAATCTCTATGATTAAAACAACACTCTTAGCTCTATATATAAATTTGTTTCCGTGATGCGTTTTCTCCCTCATTAAACAAATACTGAGACCAATAGTTTGATCATCTCAGCACCATCTTCCAGCTCGCCAATGTACATGACATGCCTATCGGGCCGGACTAGTACAATACAACCTGTTTCCCGACTCACTCCATACTTGTTATACGCTTCACCCAGAGTCCAAGGCCTTATCTCATTATTATCGACAAAGACCTGATGGTAAGGATCACCTTGTTTGAACAGGAACGGTGGCAAGTCAGAGATCTCGACATCATCCCTGCTCGCACTATGCAAGACAAGGATTTCGAACTCGTCACGAGGCGAGACGGCATCCCCTTGGACGCGCTGGAAAAAAGCATCAGGGAGCTCTAGCAGCTGGCTGAAGCGCTCTACTCGGCGTAGCTGCTCAGGCTTGGACACATCGCCGGCGAAGATGACGACGCGGTACCGACCATCGCTCGGGAAGGATTTGCCAAAATCAACAGCTTCTCCGTTGGCATGTCTTTCCACAACGTGTGAGGGTAGACGTCTGCCGACAGGAATTCCAGTAGCCAGGTGCTGCTTAGAGACAATCGAGCCACCTGCCTTGGCGACCAATAATCCAGCTTCGTACTCGATCGCGGTAGTGCTCGAAAATCCAAGATTTTCCCGTAGACCGTCACTGGTTCCTTTAACCGAAAACCCTCCTGTCAGATTCGACTGCTTCGACAGAGCCTTATCAAAAGCGATGAGTTGCTTGGTCGTCAGCCCGCGCTCTTCGTCGTAGGTCTTGAGAATGGACAGTGGAGAAACGCCCTTTACAACATGGGCAATCTTCCAACCCAAGTTGTAAGCTGAGGAAGTTAGCAGAGCCTGTTGAAGGGGCAAGAGGATAGTATCACACCGTCTTGTATACTAAAGTTCATGCCAATACCGGCTCTTGGCGAATGGACATGCAGTGCGTCGCCGGTGAGAAAGACGCGGGAGTCCTTGGAGGGGGAACTTGAGATTCGCTGGCGGGTGCCGAATACTCCGCACCAATCGACATGGCTGACATTGAGCTCGTAGGGGTGGATGATTTCCTTGATCGACTGGATGATGACTTCTGGAGTCGCATCTGCCCTGCTCTTGATGGGGGCTGCAATGCGCACCAATCCGTTCTCTCGGGGTACGAATCCACCTCCTCTCCCGTCCTTGGATATCATGGTCTGAATATGAATGTCCGCTGTCAAGCTGGTCAGTACAAAGCAAGCGGTTAAACCAAGAGATTCTTACGGAAGTTTGAAGTCGCAATGCAGTCCAAGATTCCTCCAAATCCCTCATCCCGGTCCTCATCATCTCCAAGAAAGTCAAATCCCAAAGCGTGGCGAGTCCAGCTTCGGCTTCCATCGGCCCCGATCACAAACTTGGCCCTGATGACTTCGGTGCTGCCTTCTTTTCCGCTGGCTTTGCGCTTAAGATAAGGCTCGTCTGCCGGGTTATAATTGAAATCACCTGGCTGGGGAATAGTTTCGTTTGCCGCGGACGCAGTCAGTTCCTCTTCCGTAAGGTGTCTGACCGTCACCTTGATCGCATGGGCATGGGGATCAAGTATACTCGATTTGTCAATCTCAAGATCAGTCACTGTGACGCCTCGTTCGACTTCGAGTCCGCCAAAGGCCTTCATGCCATCCAGTAAAGCACGCTCTGTGTCACCTGCACAAAGTTAGACATCTTGCCTGCATGTGCAGAGGGCGGGTCAAACCTTGACTGATGTGGACCAGACGGTGGTGGCCGATTTCTGGAGACCATTTCGGAAAGCGACCAATGCGCTTAATGGGAATATCTTTGGTGCCAGCCTATATGCGAGGTTAGATGGGGTATTGGATAAAAGTCAAGTCTCACGAACCCAGAACGTCATCTCGACTGCAGGAGCAGCGGTCTTGTAGAGGTCGTCCACAATGCCAAATGAGTCAAAGATATCCAACGTTCCGGTCTGCATTCCATCAGCATGGCCCCTAAAGACCTTTGCACTGCGGGCATCGATGATCCGTGTTTTCACGCCGCACCGCGCCATCCATAAGGCAGCCATGAGGCTGCATATCTCAAAGTTAGCGACCAAAACGTACACGAGGACGCTCGATCGAAATGGACTTACCCAGATGGCCCGGCACCAATGATGAGTACATCAGTAGTCGACTCGGGTGATATAGTCATGTTTCTCTTGGGAGTAGTTAACTGAGGCGTTGAAAAGATCAATGTTGAAAGTGTTGTACTTAACGTAGGAGCAAGTGTAGAGTTAAATGTATTGTAATATTGTTTAAGGTATCAAAGAAACCACTCTGGCTTATATAGCATTTTCGAATACGAAAATACTGCCGCCTTGTGCCATACGGTTTAGTTTGAGTCCACGGAGGAGTACGTACTGGTGAATGCCGTCGCTTGGCTTGTGCGGGCTGTTATGCGCTTAGTCATCGGCAATGAAAATGGTATTCAGATCCCCCTGCTCGGGAGTATCTCGCCTACCCACATGTGGAGTATGTAAAGGTGTCGCTTCAAGGTTGCATTTCATAACTTAACAAGCATTATCGTAAGAACAGCTTTAGTGCTTTGTACCACCTTCTGCAACAATCAAAGCGTTGTCGCGGTTCGGCTTTATCTCACAGTGGTTTCGTAAGACCCTTGTCTCGGAGCATTGCTGAAAACGCGGTCCAGATCGAGCTAGGCTAGGGGGGCCCAGAGCTAGGAGATGCGAAGAACAACAACACGGACAAACGGAGAGTCAGTGTCCCGATAGCATACGCAGTGCAGAAACGGGGCACCTGGCATGATTCCTACCCAGCTAGCAACGAACGCACGGATTCGCCGGTGTACTGAAGCGTCAGGGCCCCTCTAGAGCCGTGGGCCGTTTACATATCTTGATGACCTTGCACCCCTACGTCTACTCCCGCTCAGTACTCCACGAACAATGTAAAACTCGGCAATTCGCCACGCGGGGACATCGAATGCGCTTTGTCATTGCTTCCACAGGTCGCGTGCTTGCACGATTCTGCCCGTGTGACGCGGCTACCGTAGAATGGCAGATTCACTTTCTCACCGAAGTTGGGCAGATATGCACAGATTGGCGAAAGGTTTTCATCACTCTCTAAGATCTTCCCAGTATGTGTGTTCTTATTGACCCCATTTCTCACCATGAACATGTTGGCCATTACTGGAGTATGTTGTTTTATTTTGCCTTCGACCTCTATAATGTGGCTTATTTTGGAGACAGGGGATAAAACTCGAACACTTTACATGAGAAACTAGCTTAGAGGTTATCTAAAGGCAATGAATTATAACTACAGATATTGATCCTGGCTTTCTGCAGAATGTTGATTAGGAATAGCTATTCTTGTATTTTAGTTCTAAGAAGTCCATCGAGTTCGGCAAGCAAACCCAAGTAACAATATATAGATTGCTACCAATATAAGTATGTACTGTAGGAGTATCACCACTTGTGATCAGGATCATTCCTCCAAATGTGATCATTGATATGCTTCTGATCAACTTCCCCCAGTGGCTGACCAAGGGCTACTCTGTCAGCAGCTATCTTTTGATACGACGGCCTGTTGACCAGAGAAGAGTTCCAATTGGCGTAATGGGGAAACTCTTTAGATGGGTCGTATCCTGGGAGTAATTGCGGGATCAACTCGTTGGTAACCACAAAGCAAAGGTCAGCAAACGTGATCCCATCGCCGGTAAGATAGTCTTTGCCAGTCTTCTTCAAATGCTCATCAAGCATTCCAATCGTTCTTTTGATCGTCCATTCGTATCGTTCAAGGGCAGACTGGACATGCTCTGGGTGTTTGTACAAGAACCAGGCTTGTTGACTATAGTACATATGCTGTTCAGTCGCCTGAAATTGCATCCACGCCAGTTCTATGTACTTCTGCGGACCCGAGAGGGAGTGCAATAACCCAGAGGTATCGTAAGTGTCAAGAAGATAAAGAATGATAGCTCCAGCCTATATTTGCTTTAGAACCTTGCAATCACATATGCCGATATGGCATGCAGCGTACCTCGAATAGCTTCATTCCGGTGTTAGGATCCTCGATGGCGGGGGTCTTAGCGTTCGGGTTGATGGACTTGAAGGCTTCCGAGTTCAGTTCATCGCTTCCAAGGTATTTGCTCTCATAAGGAATCTGTAATTCCTCGAGCAGGATCGCGACTCTCCACGGGACAGGGCCTCTGGCGACGGAATACAGAAGAATGGACTTGATAGCACTCATGTTGATTTTATGATCAGGATAGTTCTAATGGTGATAAGTTGGTTATCTCGGGTAGGGTGGCTCAGATTTTGTGTCGGACGGATACCTCATTATATTTCCCTCCTTTTTCTTGAAGTAGTCTTCTCCATGCCTGCCGACAGCTCCTTTAGACTCTTTTCGGCCATTTATCCAGTTTCAGACACCAGATGCGTCAATTCAATACCATTTGACCATATGGAATGGCTTTAGGTTAGGTTTCGGGTTGATCCCACTGTCCGAAGTTAACATCCAAAGAAAAATGCTAGGTTTCATCTCTGAGTAAGCCCTTATTAAGTAGGGCATGACCAAGATGACAAATACGGATTAAACTTTTACACCTCGATAGGTAACTTTCCTTTTTGCTCCTTACACATAATTAACTAGACGCATTATGCAAGATCCCAGGCTTGGTGATGTTTCGCGCTGAGTAAGCGCATAATCCATACAGCATTGAGGATTACCCGAGAGTTGGTAATTTGAGTTCGATAACCAGGGCTCACTCTGCGTAGGAGGACTAGCCTTAAAGAGTTAGTCAAGCCATCTGAGTAGCAAAGACAACCCGTTTTTGGTAGATCACACTTTACAGGTAGGAGGTTCAGGCTCTCTGCCCCAGCCTAGTTAGACTTCACAACTTCAACAGCAAGAAGATCAAACCTAGTCTAATACAGGCGAGGAGTGGTGAGTACACCAAGGGGTATAGAATTCACTAACTTGACACCGTCACCAAGAATTTAATGCACTATTTGAGCTAGGCCTCCATGTACTACTACAAGATCGTCACTGTCTCTATACAACCCTGGCCCTCGAGATGGTTAGCCATGTACCAAGCAAGACCGTCGACAGCTGCTCCTCTGAATTCGCCTTCGTCCGGGCTACCGTGTGTCAGATGAATCTCCCCAGTGCCAACCCTCCGGTACTTAGTGCCTGGGATATTCCTTTCATCGGCGGCAATCTCGCTAAGCAGGATTCCAACCATGCTGCCGAACCCTTGACTGTACAGCTTGCAGCCAAGAAGTAGAAAGCCCCCGATCACTAACTCCGGAGTCTCTTCCGATGCCGTCAAGATATCCGGAAATGCTACGGATTCCATTGATAGGTTCATATCCGTCTCTAGAAGTGAGCTATTGTGGGGATGTATCTGAAAAGGTGTCACGTCATCAGGGCGGGGATCCAGCCGTGACACCGAAACATCTAATAAATGCCAGTGATGGTCAACGTTGCAGAAGAAACGCTCCCATAAGGGTTTGGGGTCGCTAGCGTATGATGTACGTCAACTACAGTCGTTTGTGGCAGTTGGCATATGTGAAAGGTGTAGTGAGTAAGCGCAGGTCCTATGACAGAGGCCCAAGACCACGTCGGCGCCTAGTATGTTTCATGCCTTGAGGTTACCCCCTCTTCCACGTGCCAGCAAATCTTCGTTCCAAGCGTATCCTTCCACATACCCGTGACATACTCTGTTTTCATGAAAGCGGCAAGTGCAGCAGCTACCCCGGAGACAGCAGGGAGTCGATCTGTCTCCCGGGTGATAGCACGGCTGGTAAATGGGCCGATGATCTCCAACCAGACAATCAGCGGATCCATGATCCGTGGGGCATGGAGAGGGTTGTTGCCAGCTACCATGGCATCTAAGTTGATGAGCCTGAGTGACTCTTTGCGTTGTTGCGATCCTGGACGACACTCGCAGCGATGCACCTAGCGACAATGCCAGACCAGCTCGTGAGCGGTGAAACGGAGGATTCTACGGGATAGCACGTGCTTTGTAGTGTCCATGCTCTCGTCTCAAGAGGGTTGGGGTCACAGCAACATGGCCCATCGCCGATGCTATCGATCCAGTGCCTCTGCGAACTCCACGGCCTGGCGAAGATCTCAGTCTCTTCAACTTTGTCGTCATTCTTTGAGGCAGTAGTGCACGACTTTCGAAGGCTGAAAGGCCGTTGGTGGAAGAGACCTTCGCTACTGTTGTGTGCTGCGGCAGCAGCGATGGCGAGATAAGCATTCTGATAGACGTCGCACATCTTGGGAGACTCAACAGCCCAATCGTGCTCATCATCCTGGATGATACAGAGTGAGTCTATCCACAGGTACTCGATGTTGAGTTTCCGACAAACAATTATCGCCTCTTGGAATGTCTTTGGAAACCGGGCGAAGTGGATGCTGTGGCAGAACTCAGCGAAGCTGGCTTTGGTGGTCTTAAGAGGCATAGCATCACCCCAACGATGGCTGAGAGCAATGTATCGGCCGCGATCATCGGGGCTGGGTATAATCAGATGAGGTTCCGTGCCTTCACCTCCGATAGCCACAATACGGGTTGGAAACGGCCGATCCTCGCTGACAACTTTGCAGTGCTCGTGATCATCGATACAATCTCTGATCCAGCCGCGTATCATATCCCAGGTTTCTGGGGACGTGACCTCGGGTTGGACATGATTTCCTGGGCCGATCATTTTCCAAAAAGGCTGAGTCCCTTCAGAAATATCAATAGATTGGTCAGTTTCGTGGTGGCTGGAATATACTTACCTGGCGAGCAGTACAATTCATAGCTGGCATAAAAAGGCTCTTCGGAGCCAAGATAAAAAGAAACAAACTCCATCTTTAGAGCCCCATTTGGACACCACAATACATCAGCCAGATAATCCTCGGACTCGCCGAACCAACGTCGACCAACGGACCGATTACTGTAGGTGATTTCCCGGATGTCTGGCCACGACATATTGAAGAGCGGGTACATAGAGGCCGTGGAATCTCTGAACAGTGTACAGATCCTGCACCTCAATGCGGCCTTTTTACAAACCCATGTAAAGTCCATCTTGTGATATGGAAACTCAGTATCGTGGAAGCCAATGATAGGCTTGAGCTCTATGCAGATAGCACAAAGGGCGGAGTCTATGGCTGGGTCATCCTCCATCTCAATGCGATGGAAGAAAACCTGCAATCGATGCACGTCTTTGCGTATATTTTGGAGAAACTGCTGAAAGTCCTTGAAAGGGATGTTCGGCATCTTCAGAACTGCGATATCGAGGTTGCTGATCGCTCGGTCGAGATACAGGGTCTCGATGACGAAACACTGATTGACGTATGCAGTAGCCATGAGACACCCCAGTAGTGCATAAACATGATGGTACCCCGGCTTGTCTGGCATATCAGATTCCCATGGCTCGCTCTGGGTCGGCGGCTTGAGGTACTGGATATTCAAGATAAGGTCGTCCAGATCAACACCACTGCAGACTCTCTGGGCCATTTCCGTTGCTGTGGAAGCTTCTAGCACGCGCGCAGCCATAGTAAGGGCTATGAAGCAACAATAAAGAGGCTTTATCTGGCTCACCTTGGGCCTCTGCTCTGCCTTCCGGTGCTAAAGTCTCCTCTAAGTTTAGACCAGGCTCATCTAAGGCGGTATTGTCTCCAAGCTCCGCGGGATCTTCATAAGCAGAGTCTGCAGCCATGAAAGCTGCCTGAACCTCTTCGTAGCATCTCTTCCGTAGATCCGAAAGGTCTATCGACCGATCGCCCAGGTATCCAAACCGGATAGCCCGCTCGCTTGTCATTGGATCCGTTGTCTTGACAATCTCGGTGGCGTGCGTTCGTATAAGATCAATATCATTGATCATAGAGGCAAGCTCATCAAGCTGCAGAATCCCATCATCACAATTTGCTAAGAAAACGCTGTTGGCACTATCTATGTCTGTCTCATCTGTTTCGAGGACGAATTCGCGCCTCGAGAGGTAGATGGTTCGTCCCGTGTAGTACGAGGTGTTTCTAGTATCGTTCTCTTCGTTGTTCTTTGGAGACTCCTCTGCACTCCTTCGTATCAAACGAGTCCCCGAACCGACGGTATCTTCAATGTTGAGCTGATCTAGGTGATCGTTCAGGCTGCCTATTTCAGCAACTTCTTCGTCTGTCGACATGATGCTGATATCTGGTCTCGCGCTGCAGAAATTTGTCGGAAAGATCTAAGTAGGTAATAACTCGACGAAGGCTTTCGTTACTGCACGCATAGACAACATATCTCATTATCTCAGAAGCGGGGAGATCATTCATGTCATGAGACTGTCCTCTGTGCCAAGACCACACCAGTTTTCAGCTCAGAGATTTAACTTCGCTAATGTTGAACGTTACCTTTGAGAAGCTAACTTATACTTTGCCGTTAGTTATTCTAATCTCCGTCAATGCGGGGGACGTTTTCTCTAGTCTAAGATCTGATTCTAGGGTTATCCTAGGCCTATCCTAAGCCCATCCAAAATTTCTGACTGTTTAGTGTAGATTTAATAAAGATGTTTTACAGGACGTAAGATATCTTCCAACTGCCGCATGGTCTCGTCCGTGAATGCAGGGGGAACTCTCCCCTTTCCAAAAATGGGCAGCCCGGCGATGTTCGATAGCTCATTATACCATCTAAGTAGATCGCCATTCTCAAAAATGACGGTGTGAAAGCCATTCCCTTCATTTTTGGCATGTTCTGCCCATGATCGTTCCCAATCTACTTGTTCTGTAGCTATTGGAAGTGGTGTTGCATTCCTATCAGAAAACACCCTTGCCAGCGCAATGGCCTGGTACTCGTAGCTGCGAAACGCAAGTGTTTGTCCAAAGCCTATGATACCAAGTGTAGGATGGTCTCGAAAGAAAGTATGCAAGAAACTGCCGTTGAGCCTAGCTTTGTCGTAGTCATACAGATGTCCTCCGTTAGCCTCAATATTCCAGAACGTAAACGAGGGCTTATAACCAGTGCAGTAGATAACCTGATCAACATCTTCGAGTGACGAATCGTCTTCGAATATGATATGACCTGTTATAGCTATATATTCTTTGATGACAGGTCTCCATTCCATCCCTGGTTTAGGCTCGGGTCCCTCCCAGATGGACTTATGTCGTCTTGAGACATATACTGGTAGTCGAGCATCTTTGAGGAGTTCGTCAGCTATATCTCGTCCAGATAGAGCATTACCAACGATGAGTATCTTCTTGTCCTTGAAAGGATGGGGCTGGCGATAGTACTTGGAGTGCATGACACGGCCTGGATACTTCGCGATGTATTCGCTTAGTCCTTTGACCTCTGGGACCTAGTAAGATGTCAGTTACTCGAAAGACAGAGGAAGTCTTTAACATACATATGGAACAGAGAATTGGCCATTGGCAATAATGACAGCATCAAAGACTTCCTGCCACCACTCATCAACGTCCTGCTCCATATGATGCATGCGTAGTGTCAACCTCCAACGGTCTCGTCCATCTCCTGTTGCTATCTTGCTGAGATCTTCGACAGTGGTGTTGAGCACCAGAAAGTCTTCCATCTTGTGAAGTAAGTAGCAGTCTTGAAGGTACATGCGGGGGATATCGTGGGGCACGAAAGGACCCTCGGGAAACCTCTTGTCCGAGAACGACATAGCAATCTCTGGGACGGTTGTTCTGGAGTTACGTCAGTGATGACATATTTGCATCGATACATGCCATTAGACTTACATCAGGGACTCATGAATCGGAGTACTGTGGAAACGCTCTTGCGTGTTATGTGGAACCGCCTGGGGCAGTTTGCCGGGTATTTCGAGTCGGGGATTGACCTTCGGAGGCAGAGCTCCAGGCTGGATAGGTGGCGGCGTGGAAGGGACTTCATCGTATAACCTAGGTTTAAATTTTCCTATCAGCATTTAGAAGTCTCGGTTTGTTAAGTTAAATGGAATACCATGTTCCACCGGGGGCCTCCCTCCTCTCAAAAACTCTAATCTTCTGGAAGTACTCTTCAGCTTTTAGCGCCGCGGCGGCTGCAGTCCCTGTTTTGGTCAGGCTTGTAGTGACAGAACCATAATTGAGAATTGCTAACCTGATGCGCCGCCTCCGATTATAGCAACGGATCTGATTTCTGACATTGCTTTTGTTCGCGTTGGCTTTGGCAGCTTCACTGTGTCTAATCGAAATAGGAATGTGAGACCTTTCGAGCTCAAGTTAGCGCCCGAGGAAAGTTACAGATGCTGAGATGATCAACTATACTACTCTTCAAGTGCTCTAATTCGACTCTCTACTCACTTCAGGGGATGATGGGCCATGAGGCTTGAAATAAACATATTAAGCAGTGACCCAAGTTTATGATAAGTTGACCTAGATTATTTCATCGATTAGGATCGAGGTCTCTAGGCGGTGTCCTTACCTGCCGTAGTCATAATCTCTCAACTTCGAGTTTGCGGTGAGGTGCGCGGTAGTTAGAGATTATATTATAATTAGTGGGGTTAAGATGAGTCATTCAGGATGGGTCGAACTGATATGATCAGACCACCAAGTTGGTAAAGCGCCGACTATTAGGAGCAGAGCCTTTTCTCAAGTATTGAACAAATACTAATACAATTTGTTTTCTAGTTTAATGATATAATGTAGCGCCTATTATACAGCCTGATAGCCTAAACGTGACCCAAAGAACCGAACACCCTGTACCCTAAACAGTCTGACTCAAATCTTTCATCAACTGGAAAGCCCCGGGAGTCTCAACCCAAGAAGCAAGACAGTACCCAATCATCAAGCAGGCTTCCTCCTTCGTCTCATGCGAGTACATTCCAGGTCTTTGTGAAGCGGCCGATACCGGACTGCTCAACATCAAGCGCCAGAAGTGAGGGTTATACTCGTTGACAGATCTATAAAGCTTAACGATCTGGTCCTTAACCTTCTTGATAAGCTTGGAGAGATGTTCTGTGCTGCCCATGAGGATATCGGGACGCGACGCTACAGCACTGCCGATGAGCTCATTACGAATGAGTCCCACGATTTCTGGTGGGATAGTACCGTTGAGAGCTCGTGTGGTGTTCTGAGCAGACTGCAAGTCAAGCAGAATTCTCACTTTGATCAATGTGACAGCCGCCACATGGCCTAAGCTGAGATATTTTCCGTTTGACCAAGTCTCCAATGGCTCCTCCAAAACATCGGCGTCCCTGATATCGAGGTATGGCTGGTCCATGTCTCCCCAATCATACTTTGACTCTGAGCCGGTAGTTGCGTACCACTTGACAAAATCGTAGGCTTCCTGATCCCTGTTGAGCCGGATGTACAAATGCGGCACAACATCCCTCACACCCATGTTGTCGCCCCGACAGAGACGAAGCATATCAAGAAGATGATCCAACGCCTCTTGGACAGCATCGATCTTACCCCCGGGAGCTCCTAAAACATGAAGCAACACATCGACCATATGGTATCGAGCACGCATATACGCACGCGTCTCATGAATACCCCAAAAGTGCCCGACACCATTCTCAAAGATATTCGGCGGGGTGAACATATCTCCAGGATGATCACGAAGCTCTTGCTCCTCCTTCTCTACCGCCTTGCGTGCTTTTTTGATCATGGTGCAGCCATTTTTGTGATGGCTCCGGTCAGCTGTTTGATGGGATGCTCCGCAGTAATACGCGGCCTTGCAGCTCGAGCAGCGCTTCAGTAGATCTTTGTCTATTTCGCTACAGGCCTCCAGCTGGCAGACTCGAGGAGTGAGCTCGCGTGGTTCTGGCAATGGCATGACGCGTCGTGGTGTGCTTTTTGCTTTTTTTTTGGGTTTGATCCAAGGCGGGGGAAATGAAAATTGGTGTTTTGGCTATAACTTGAGGATGAAATGGTTTTAGGATTAGAGAATTATGTGGCTTGCAGCTGTATGTGACATGAACGTAAGAAATAATATGTGATAAGATGAGATGGAGTTACTTTTTGACGGTGATGATATAATTGATCAGATGCTTGAGGCAAGGGAGGGGCATCACCAGACTTGCACGTGACCAAGAGGTCGGTCGGGTCGGCAGATAGGATAAGGTTAAGCTACGTGTATCGTCATCGCCCGTATAGAACTTACCATTGCATATTTCCAAGTGGCGGATTAGTATTGCCGAGGTAACAAACTGTATGCCTATCCTCCTAATTTTTTTGAACTCCAATTCGGGATATTCAAAACAGAAGACATAAACAGTCATTTCGCCTTCTTACCAGAGTCTATAGGACTTAGACCTCTTTGGGCCCTTTGATTTATTACCGTTCTATATCCATCCCTATGTTTTGCTCTCCAATATTTGATAAGTTACCAAACCATCAATCGAAAACACGAGAACTGATTGCATCTTGTCATTTTCTCTACGAGGTTTTACAGTCAGATCTCACAACAACACTCTCAACCACCTGATACTGATGGTCCAGAGCACTGCTCTCTCGCAATCTCCACGGCCTTTTATACCCTTGCTTCCTGCTCCACCTTCTCAAAAACGGAGCGATAATTGTGCTCATCGAGACCAGCAATTCTGGCTCGTCCTGGATATTGGGTCGAAGGACTCGTATGAGTAGTGGTGCGTCGACTCGCCCGATAAGATACGCCTCTGCATTCTTCAGAGTCCATCTTGTCTGCTGTGGTGTTAATCTCTGCGTGGCTAGGCCATCCTGAAAAAGTGATACGGCAGTCGAGAAGAGGGATGTTGAATTCATCCATGGCTCTGTTGGGCCTCGACACCTAACCTGGTCCGTTTCGAAGCACATCGTCGTTACGTAAGCGAAGGTCGCTACGTCCTCGGAGTCAGCAAGTATTCGGGCCCAGAAGCTCTCCCTTTCAATGGGTATTTTGAAGCAATGGACTGCTAATCCCGAGGGGGCGCAGCCAACAACAAACTTTTCACCCTTCCTATCTACACCCGTGTCCTGCAACAGAAATAGGACGGCGATAGCGAGAGTCTCGAACTCCGCCTGCAGTTCGCGGTCTAGCTTTTGGTAGCCTGCTCTAAAATCATCACCTCGTAATATCTGCAAGATGTTGCAGGCTTGAAGGTTCTTCCAGTGACAGGGCTGGGTAGCGAGGTCTATAACGTAAGCGGGTAGGATATCGGCGAGGAGCTCTCGTAGTCGCACCCGTCGTGCGATACCAGTACAAAAGCTCACCTGGACAGCGAAAAGCCCTTCTAAATCGGCGATGGAGAGGGATCTCTTAGCGAGGATGTTGGACTTCTTGGTCTGGCCCAGTCTCTTCACCCACGTCTGGGCGAAGTTCACTATTCCCACAGCGCTTTGTCCAGCCTGCAAGCCAAGGCCTACCTGCCTTTCGGACACCTCCCAGTAACTTGGAAATGTCCCCAGCTCCTTCAACCATGGAACAGCCATCTTCACTCGATCCCGTATGGTCACCCCGCATACCGCTGTCATTGAGACTCTTGACCCGATGACCATCCTTTCATTGCGAGGAAAGGTCGAAGAGAAATCTGTGTCGCACTCTGATGCTGGGCTCCAGTGTAGAGCGGGCAACTGGTGGTTTTCTGTGGAGATAGGGACGATCAGGCCACCACCAATCGATATTGCATGGAGATTTTCTGAATCATGCTTTGGCATTATGAAATCTCCAGGACCCCAGGTGTCAAGCAGGTCTTCAGGGTAAGCCTTCAAGTCGAACTTCTTGTCAGAATCTGAGAACACCTTTAACCTATCAAAAACCTCAAAGTACTGAAAGGTAAAGACTCGGCGCTCAACCATCTCACCAAAGCAGGTCAACTCTATGGGGGAAGCGAGTATGCAGGGCCCAGTAAATGATGGGCCCCAAATTTGGTTTCCTATGAGCAGCACACGCTTTAAGGGGGTGTCCAGAAAGAAAGGGCTAAAGGGCTCGCAATGACCTTGCGCGTAGAGAGCGAAGGCGAGGGAAAGAAATTGGGCCGTCAGCGAGTCCAGTAACTGTGGATGCAAGCCCTTGAGGCTGGCTTGTGAATTTGTGCGTGACGCTAGTGATTCCAGTGTTGATGAGCCACTAGGGTCTATTCGTTCCAGCTCGACCATGAACTCTTCTCTTGCCAGAAAGGTGAAAGAGTCGCAACATCCACCGACTTGCTGAAGTGTGCCGATAGCCTTCTCTAGATGTTGCAAAACATCTGGAACAGCCTGAACTGATTGGCTATTTATCAGTGAGACGATTGCAGTTGAGTGAGCGTCTTCAAAGATTACAGACCCAAACTGGAGGTTTTGAGACCCATCAGGCATAGGACTGACCCCTCTGATGCCGCATAAGTATTCAATATTCTCACGAACTGAGTTCTCAGAGTCTTCGATGCTCAGCAGATCCTCAAATCCAGGCCGGCACAAGATTTGGATATTTTGACTCGGACATTCTCCCTTCAAAGTCCTCATTTGAGTTTTCTGTGGCTGGGTGCCATCATCGCTGGTTTACACAAAGGTTTCTTGAAGGATATCAGAGGACTACTCGGCTTCAACAGGATCGATATCCATGAGGCGGTCTGGACTAGCACCTCAATCTCCTTGGTACAGGATCACGTACCTCAACAGCAACAAAATGCTACGTCCATCTCGCGCAAGGCTGAGTTCGCACTAGCATTTCTTGCCCAAGGGGAATCTAGATACAGGCAACCACCCATCTACCCATATCCGCCGCCTGGCTCAACGGCCATTGGAGATCTAGACCTCGAAGTTCGTCTTCACATGGCATGTCCAGGTGGACACGGACTCAAGTTCTCCAAGATCACCTGGAATTGTGCTGGAGGAAAGGAGGAAGTTCAGGAGACAGCGATCATGACCACAACAGCTCATCCTACACACATACCCGGTTGCGCTGCACTTACAAATCCCGTCAACTATACAGGGCTGTGCCCTGACAGAGATATTTCAGAGCTTGTCACCAGAAACGTATTTATGTGGATGCGAGAGATGGATGGCTTTCCAATCAGCGAGCTAGACATATACAAGCATGGATGGTTTGGCGATGGTGACTCTGATGATGACGATAGCAACTGTGCCGAAGGAGATGGTGGTTCCACAATTGACTGTAACTTGAGTGTTACAGTTGGAGGTTAGATCTCCGGTGTTATGACCGCGCGCTGCAACTCGCTCTAGATTCTGATCTATGATAGGAGCATAGATATCATGTCCGATGCCAGCATTAGATTAATAAGAACTTGAAATGAACCAAGCGCTTCATCCACTTCAAGGCATTTCTAAATGTAAAGTCATATTGGTGCATTCATATTTTTTCCTATGCTAAACCGAACGTATTTATTCAATAGACAGAGGTAAAGCCGGGCTAATAAGCACCTAGACTTCGAAGAGCTCAGGGATGTCTGACAACCTAAACAGGACATAATCCGAGGCAAATATGCAACGATCCCACGGGCCGCAAACTTCAACTCTACATCCGAAACAAGGGCATGAACTTTGACCGAGCTTCTTAGCGGATGCCGTTACTTAGGTCGGCCCTACCACCTCATCAGTCAAATATTAATCCAAGACCAGGTAAAACAAAAGCCCAGTCGTTAATGACTGAGCTGACTCCACGAGCATAAGAATTGATCTCGTTCTAAAGACGCAAAACAGGCTAATACATAATGTGAATATCGACATATAGTATTTCCTCTCTCGCACACCATCCTAAGTAGTCGCTACTTAAGCCTAAGCCTTCCCTAAGTCCAACCTGAGTCTCGGCTGAGCTGACGTCCTGGTGTCGCTTTTCGGCCCCTGGCGACTGACGAAATTAGAACAGCCCCACCCACAACAAGGTGACCATGTACTGCTAACAGACAGCCACGCCTAAATGATGCCGGCGGCATATCCTCTCTTTCTATCAAGTCTCAACCTGTAAAACTGATAGCCAAACTGAAGTAATACGCTCTTGAGATTCAGTACATCGTGACTTCTTTTGGGCCATGAACATACGCTTTTCATTCGTGATACGGTACCTAGGACTTCCCTATCGGTCGGGGTACCTTCACACTCGATCCGCGGTTTGATGGTGTATGGCATTTTTTCTGAGGCTGCTGAAAACTTCAATTAGGGAAACCATCCGCGCTGCGTGCTTCTTAATCAAGGAGACACGTCACAATTACCTTGAGAGATAAGCTATTCCTGAAAAGGACTGCTGGATCAGCAGGCAGCCTTTCGTTATCACCGAGGAGTCTGCTTTGTTAGCATGGCATGACACCCAGCGATTGTGAAGCTGATGGCAAGAGTAGGCAAACAAGCGCTTCGGGCGATTTAGTGGCTGTTACAGCACCTTGAGGCACTGGAAGGCATCTCTGTCGCTAAAATCAAAGCGTAGCGCGTTGCAAGCGCGGTGGGTTATTTGCTTACCGAGGGTTAAGCGGCAATGATTAAGCCCGTGTCCAATAGGGTAACAGAAGCACATCCACGCGGCTGCGTTGTGGGGCTCATGATTTCACTCCACTGGGCTAAGGGGTCGCGGATTAATGTTACAGCGTTCCGATTATCAACGAAATCCCACCTACTTGTCTGATACGACACGCAATCTTGCCAAAGATTCCCATGGGCTTTTTGTCTCGACATCCCATAGCCATGGAGTCACATGATGAAGCGCCATACTTTTGCATGGCGGATACAAGATGTCGTCTCTGCCAGTTCGAGTTGGAAGAAGGCGACTTGGTCATCGCACGTTTGTTGGTCCGATCCGTGCAATATTGGCAATGGCTCACGTGAAGATAGACATTGGGGGTCAACGATTTTCGATGGAGTTTAACCTCCGTATGGCCGACACTATACACGACAGTTATGAATGGATCAATTTGCACACTTGTGCCAGTCCTCGATGCATGGCAGAGGGTCGCCGCATACCTTTCTTTCACAACGACTGTTTTTGCTTCAGGCTCTACGACATCTCGGATGCGCTGGTCGCTGCTGGAGACTACGCTTTCGATCCTCCTGCATACGAGAGGAACAGGCGTTCTCATCGCATTAAGCGCCTTCTGGCTCCAAAGTTGAGGGACGAACTTCAAATTAGACTTCCGGCTGAGACATTGATGGCCATAGCTGGACTTCTTGTCCGTGAATGTGCTGTCATCACGGCAGAAGAACAGTCGCTTGGGGTCAATGTCTTTGATATGACCGTTGACCTTACACAAGATGTGTACATTAGTTACACTACTGTCGATGGCGTACGCTATGTGAAGAGTATTGGCAACACGTTGTCAAAGTTTTGTAACGAAGATCACCCTGAATTACTCAGCAAGCCGGGAGAACCTGTCGGTAAGATATGGATCGCTGAAGATTATCGTGGGATCCGCTCTGTAAAGTTCTGTCCCGCAGATGCCTCATTAGCAGGACCTACACCAATCGTGAAGTCGTGGTGGAGACACATCTCTACTCCGTGTAATGTTAAAAACATCACAATTAAATCTGACGTAAGTGTCACCTACGCATGTCAAGTTCCATGTTAACATCAGGCTAGGGTCTCAAACTGAGAGACATTCTTGTTTGTAATGAGACGATACCAGATGACACCAGCAATTATGTTGGTTGGGCGAACCCTGAACATCCAAACGATGTCATTGATATCACAACGTTCGATCGAGTCAATAGCTTTCTCGAGAGACTTCGGATGACGTTCTTCAATTGCAATGCCAATGGTATAACCGGATACACGGCAGTGACTGGCGGAAGTTCCGTTGCAATGATTCATGCTCATGAGAATGATAGTACTCGCTTTTATACAGATATGGACGCTGCTTATCCGCGCGGCTTCTTTATCCATATGCCACTTGACGATGGAGAATTCGTGACTGAGATATGTCGAAGATATGCACTAGCAGCGGGAAATAGGATTTCGGCCTGTCTCGTGGTAAGATACCAATTGATTGCTTTCTGGCACGTGATTGTATTTGTGGCTAACATTGCTGCGGTAGTTCATTACGAATAAAGGTAGAAGCACACTCTTTGGAACAAGCGGCCCACCGGAATCGTGCCTCGTGCTCGATAAGATTCTAACGCCTGCACCGAATGGAACGCAGGTCTGGTTCAACGATTCAACATCGGGGCACCCGAAGTCGCTCAGATATCTTGCATTTGATGGACTTATGCCACCCGTCCAGCGTCCTTTCCCCCCTTCACTTATACCAAACCCTCCGTACTTCTGGACCCAGAACACCGAGTCATGGTTTGTATCATCATGCAGTATGGAAGGAATTGTGTATATGACTCTCTGCAGAGATACATCATTTGATCATCGACCAATCACCGGAATTTTGCTAGAATATGAAAATGGTCACCGGGAATGCCTGGGCCAATTCCGCTTTGATAAGGCCCTCAAAAAGGTGCGAGTAGAGCATACAACGGACCTGTATATTGGTAGCTTGAGGACCACATGTTCATACCTCTATATTGCAGACATTGCCACCTCTCCACTACACGATGACGGAGGCCTGGCTTGGATGCGAGTTTCTCGACATGGTACACTTGAATGGTGGTCGTCTTTTCGTCATTCCATAGTGCGCTACACATCTACTACAGGACAGTTCACCAACTTGGAAACATGACTTTGGATTAAGAACTATATCAAGCAAATGCGAGTATTTTGCAACAACCTTATCCGATCCTGTCACGGGTGTAGTAGGTGACGCCTCGCCGAGAACTGATCCATGCCAACTTTCCTTTGTATGTGACTTCCCTCCAGTCATCTTTGGTTGTTCTCTTCTGGCTGCCATTGATGTCACTGAAAAAGTATTCAGTTGACCTTCCGAAGTGAGCAACCCGACTGACATGAACTTTGATGAACTGGTCACTGACAGAAGACGTCTGCCCATGTTCCCCAACAGATGAGGCTGGATTCTGCGCATAGTATGACGCTCCTGATGCATCGGCCTCACCATGTGTTCCACTTGTATAGTCGCCTTGTCCTGTAGCAGCTTGATATCCTTGCTGCGTATCTGGGTACCCCCCATAGCCAGTTTGACTGTATCCGGTCTGCTGATACCCACTTTGAGGGAGAGGTTGACTCGGAACAATAGGCGCACGGCGAAGCGGAGGATAGGCTTTGACGGTTTCCACAAATCTCGTGAGCGTTTCGGCCTCATAAGAGTCCGCATCGATATATTGAGACCGAGTTGCATCAGCGGGACCACCGTTGAATGGCACGAGCGATAGAAGGTCGGATCCGTAGACAGTCCAGCAGCGGAAGGAAACACCAACTGTTGTCATAACATATACAGATTCCAGATTACTTGTTCTGATGCACCGTTTGGCCGCATCCAGCGCTTGAAACTCGACTTGCCTGACACTACCAGAGGGGCGCTTAAACTCAATCCAGAGCACAGCCGACAAAGTGTCATGTCTGTCATCATATCTCTTCACCACCGCATCGACCCTTCTGCGGGACTCGTCAGGAGGCATCTCACACGAGATCATGTATTCATCTTCATGGAAGGCTCGCTGCAACCAAACCTGCCAGAATGTGGAGGACTGATACTCGATGTCTTGAGCAGCATCCCTGTAAAGCTTTCGAAGAAGGCCAGTGGATGGCACGACACTCATGATAGGTGGTGTTGAAGAAACGAGGATGAATGTTACGAGTATTGAAAGGGATATGGTGGTCTTGAGTGGTTATGTATAAAGTAGAAGTAGAATAGAATAGTTCTAGAACGCTTAGAAGAGTTCTAAATAAGCGTTGTTGGGATGGAAAGGTATGCTGTAAGATTGATGCTTTGGCTTTAAAGTGGTGGACTAAATGTCTATTTTATAGGGAAGGCGAGCCGTAAGCGCTGTCTCCAACCTTGGTGGACTTTCTTAGGATAGTGTTTGCCGCCCAGATGAAACATGGTCTAGTTCATGCCAACCGTCGCAGTAAGCGCCGACATTGTGAATATGTTCCTAAATTGGATTTTAGTCGCGCGCCAGGTTTCGTGGGGGTTTAACTTCAAATACTCCGGCTATTTCCACTTTCAGAAAGCGTATCGCCCAGGCGGGGCAAGTTTGGCCGCTGAAAACTGGATCACTCACAATCAACAAGATCCTCATTTCAGGTCGATTTGCCCGGCTAGGTCATGAATGACATTTCTTATGATTCATGTTCATGGAGATATAATTTCCACGTGGACGGACAGAGCACCGCTGATCTATTCCTCAGCACAAACCCCTTCTAGCTTCTGCCCTCTTGAACAACAGATAATAGAACTTTATCTCCTTCTCTTCTAGCACTGAACGCTTCCCACACATTAATTGATGCTTGTTCCTGCTCAGGAACCGCCTTGCTACAGTCATGGTCATAGCGAGAGGTCTAAGTTCTATCGCAAGTTGTTTAGGAACCCGCGCACTAAAGTAAGGGTGGTGGGTAACACTTCTTCGCTTAAAATGAACCAAATGCAAAGCAGATCTTCCGAATAGCATCGTCGTGTCCTAACTATCAGAATTCATATGCTGGCCCTCGTCTATCCAACTCCTCAACCCGTCGGTGTTCACGATCTCGCTCCGATCGAGGTATGACAGCACTTTTGTGAACTCCTGGATGTACTCCGAAACCCGACGGGAGAGTTGTCTCTCCATCTCAAATGGACAGTTAAGAAGGGAACTGGCGATGCTGCGCACTTTGTAGATCTAACGCGAGTCCTGTTATTCTGCGATACCATGATGAGAAGTGGGATGAGACTTACGAGATATAGACCGTTGGGCTCTAGGTAAGCGTGCGGAATGCTATGGAGGATGTGAAGTAGCTGTCGGGCTACATCTTCTCGGTCCCTCCAGTTTTGCTTTAGCTGCGTTGTAATATATGAATCATCTCCCTCTCGGTCCTTCATCTCTTGCAAAGCGACGTCCATCTTGTCGAGGAGGAAGTTCTGAAGCCACAAGTGGCTGACGTGCAAGTTGGCTCTGGTGCTTTCGTTCTGCAAATGCTCGATATGAGATTCGGTAAAAGCGCCTTGCCGCCTATCACTGCTGTCGAAGGGTTGGTAGTTATCCTCCGGTCCCCATTGGCGCATGTGCGTGGGCAAACCATCAAGTATATACCGCAGTTGATCAAGAAGATTTCTTAGCTTCGACAGACGCTCCTCCGGGGACCTACCAAACCCGCAGTTGCAACCATCATTGACCATGGACTCTCGCATACCCAAAAGAAATGCGCGAGATGCCATGATGAACACTGTAGTGGAGTGAAATGGGGCATCATCTGCTGAGTCAGTGTTGTTTGGTAGCCCTACGGATGGTGTTGATGGAAGCTGGCCGACGATTCCTGTCTCGGTTATGTTCTCGTCGACGATGTTGAGAGGCTCCAATGCAGCAAAATTGACATCTCGAATGGTATAGTTGTCGAGATATGTCAAGTAATTGCATCTGCCAGGTTGTATCTTGGAGTGTCTGCCTGTTTGTCAGTCAAGGCCAGTAGTCGACAGTGATGGACTCACGCGAAAGTGTATAGCTGTAGCCAGAATGATTTCTTCCGTAGTTGAGTCTCAATCGGATTCAGTCCCTCGTATTCGGATACAAGATGCATGCCTAATAGTCTCGCAATCTGCATCGACTCCGCTTCAAACATGCGGCTTTGGTTGATCTGTCCAACTTGGAACGCTCCGATCGAGAGGCAATATGCCGCAGCCCACTTTCGATGGCTGATATGATCCCAGTAATCCGCAGGCCGAAGACGAATGCACATCTGAGAGCAGTGGCTGATCATGGCCGTGCGAGTGCCAAAGCGAGCGGCCAGGGCGTGATAACTGTCAAACTTTGATGGCAGCAAGCCCACGGTCAACGAAGCTATTGATACAAATAGCAGTAGAGTGTCGAGGTCGGTGACATCTTTATTTGATGCTAAGTCGTTACGGAAGGTTGGTAGGTGAACAACAGGGACAAGCGGGTATATGTGATCGACATAGTCTGCCATGATAGTCATGAACAAGCTCCGGGGGCATATTTCATCCGTTTGGAACTGATGCTCGAACAACTCGACATTTTGAGGCTGGTTGAAGTGCGCGACATGGGTGTGAATTGGTGGACGGCTTGGTGATGGCGCATTGGGCGATGATCCAAATGCCAGATCCAGATGAGAATTTCCGAGAGGTGTTGGAACTTCCGCACGGAGCGTCTCTTCTTCTTCGTAATGGGTCGGGCTCTCGACGTGTAGTTCTGGAGAGATTACAGCAGGTGGTTGAGTCGTCCTGATGGTTGTTAGCCAGCTTTCATATGGCGCGTCAAAGCCAAGGTTTCGCTCAGGCTACCTTCGTCTCTTTGGACCTCTAGGCCTTGTCGGTATGTCAAAGCTACACTGAATATGCAGCCTCGAGCATCCCACGCAATGCGACGCTGTTCCTGCACCATCCCTTGGAAACACGCACTTCCTCCGCCGAGCACGACATGCGTCACATGCCCTTGTCGTCAACTGCCTCGTCTTTTCTCCGCGAGCTGTAATAGACGCATCAGCTTCATTGTCAGTTGACAGCAGTGATGTGCTGGGGTCTGCGTCTGTCGCTGCCATGATACCTAGGTAACCGATCAGTCGGGTCAACTTCTGGGGTTGACGAAGCGGAGAAATACAGACTGCGGAGTTAATCATGACCCAGCTAGAGTGAGTGGTTAGGGAGCGTCATTTGCCGCTTGGACATTTTCGTTAGTTCGTTTTTGTCGGAGCCGCATTTCTACGCCTAAATTGGTGGAGAACTTGCGAGGATTCGGTAAAAAGGACGATGCCTTCCGATCAGATTAGTCAATGTGCATTAATTCGGCTTGGTGTGAGTTTGAACTATTGAGAAGCTAACAGAGTTTGGCTTGTTGCAATACTCCGCTACGATCTGGGTTGAGTGCTGTGAAGCCACCATTCACTTGGCCGTGATATCTCAATCATTTGACTCAATCAACGCGCTCGGGTTAACTACAACATCTGTGCGTCACATCTCTCAACAAATGTTGAAACTGAATTTGAGCTCACGATAACAAGATGTCAACGGAAGTGAAATTTTTTAAGTTATTATTTCTTGCATCATCAGATCAATCACAGACAGATAACAGAATTAACAGTGGTATTTCATAGGATGTAGGGTAGTTGACTTTCTTCATGGCCGAAGTCCCCGCCACGTCGCCGCGTTCCGGACCGTAAACGTCTTCTCCAGAAACTCACATCTACTGCTCGTCCCCACCAGCACCGTATACTCCCCCGCGTCACTGCACCAATAATCCTCCCTCTCACTCCAATAACTCGTCGCACGTAGCACGTCTAGCTCAATCTTCGCGACGCCACTTGCTCCTGCATCCAGATTGATCTTGGCAAAGCCCTTGAGCTCTTTGCTAGACCTCGTAATTGTATCAAGAGCAGAGGCAGTGAGCGGTGTTGGATGGGGTGGCTTGACGTAGACTTGTACAACAGCAGCTCCGCACCGCGAGCCAGTGTTGCTCACATTGACGCTTACTGCCAACTTGTTGCTCTCAGAGACCAGGTGCTCTTCAATGTGCAGGTCAGAAAGTTCAAAGGTAGTATAAGACAAACCATGCCCGAATGGGAATAAGGGTTCAATGTCAAGCGTGTCGTACCAGCGATAGCCGACATGCACGTCTTCGCTGTACAGAACCCGACCTCCTTCTGACCGGAAGTTCAAAGCACTAGGATTGTCTGCCACGCGTCTGGGCATCGTGATCGGTAGTTTGCCGGACTAGAACTGTTAGCAAAACAAGATGATGTGACTGGGGTTGACTTACAGGGTTGACGGCACCGAATAACACATCAGCGATTCCATTTCCAGCCTCATTACCGCCGAACCACGCTTGCGCAATAGTGCTAGCTTGGTCCACCCAAGGCATTGAAACAGGCGTGCCACTCTGGATCAGCACCACCGTGTTGGGATTTGCTTGCAGGACTGCGGAGATCAGATCATCGCTGCCAGGAGGAAGAGACATGTTTGCGCGATCCTGACCTTCACTCTCCCACTCTCCGCTCGTCCCAACGCAAAGAACGACTTGATCGACACTTTTGGCCAATCCAACAGCTTCTTCGAGTGCCTGCCGCGGCTCAAGCCTGGGACAGCCTCCGAGACGCATACCGCCTTGTCCAAAGTCAACGACTCCCGACACCTTGAGATCAGAGGTCTTATCGCAGCCCCAGCGCACGACGACGTTGTAGCTCTTGCCACCGTCAAGCATCTTGTTGCCTGTCTTCTCAACGGTACCGCAACCAAGGAAGGAACTGCCTGGCTTTTGGTCGGTGACATTTGAGACTACTAGCTCCCCGTCAATGAAGAGCTCGCCGGTACCGTGGACACAAAGACCAAAGTCCCATTCCCCAGACTTCTCTGGAGACAAGACACCCTCGATCTCAGCGTACCAGATCTGCTCCAATGCTGGATGCTCGTAGTCCACAAACCAGATATTTGAGTCATCCAAGATCCTCGTCTCGAGGACTTTGCGTGTATCTGGCCCCGAAGTCGGAGGCGGGTCGTTGTAGATGCGAAGAGTGAATCCTTGACGCTGACCGTCAACTGTTTTTAAGAGTTTCCCGATTTGAGGCAGTGAACGATGTCCGTAGAGTCCTTTTGTGAAGGAAACGTCCTTCGAAATACCCTTGATGCCCTCCATAGGGGAAACAGTATGGTATGCTCGAAGGCTCGCACTTCCACCACCGCAATAAGCACTGATATCAGCATTAGGACCGATGACCGCTACTTTTTTCGTCGGATCAAGTGGTAGGACTCCATTGTCATTCTTGAGTAACACCACAGACTCGGCAGCAGCTTCTCGAAGAAGGCGAGTATTCTGTTCGCTCTGAAGCTGAGTCTCCGGCGCGTTCGGTGGGATACTCGTGTTCTCTATGGAATGCTTGACCAGCTTCAAGACATTCCTCACACGGTCATCTAGCGTTGACCTCTTAACCTTGTTTGACGTAACAGCGTGAACCAAAGTCTCACCACGCCATCTTGTAGGGCCTGGCATTTCGAGATCTTGTCCCGCGTTGATCGCCTCAGTTGTACTGTAGGTTCCGAACCAATCGCTGACAACTAATCCATCCCATTTCCATTCATCGCGCAGGATATCTTGTAGCAAGTGATGGTTGTCAGGGGCATGGGTGCCATTGACCTTGTTGTACGCCGTCATGACCACCCTTGGACTCGCCATCTCAATAGCAATCATAAACGGAAGAAGATACACCTCCCTCAGCGCCCGCTCCGTGACTTGCACATCAACAGCCATACGCGCACTCTCCATATCGTTACAAGCAAAATGCTTCATGGTAGCAGAGACACCATTCTTCTGCACACCATGCACATAATGTCCCGCCAAGATACCTGAGAGAATAGGATCTTCAGAGAAAGACTCAAAGCCTCTTCCGCCTAATGGTCCTCTTTGGATATTGACGGTAGGACCAAGAAGGACGTGCGCACCTTTGGCGTGGGCTTCGTCTGAGAGTAATTGTCCAAGACGGTAGATGAGATCAGTGTTCCATGTCGCGCCGAGAGAGGTGCCGCAGGGGAGACATGATGATGGGGTGCTGTCGAAGAAATGAGTTCCTCGCACGCCGTTGGGGCCGTCTGAGAGGCGGATTGGGGGTATTGAGAGGCGTTCAATTGCTGCTGTGTGCCACCATCCGACCCCTTCGAATGTTGTTAGCAATGAGTTTGATAAGAAATAATGAGTTAATGACTTGCCTGCCGTAAGCTGGACCTTCTCCTCAAGGGTCAATTGCTGTATGAGGGCCTCCACATCCATTCTGATATACCTCATCTCAATTATTCGTGTCTGGGAGAGTGATGATGTGATTGATGATTGACAAGGCAAGGGACTCTAGTTCGAATAGAAGTGCTATTGACTAACCAAAAATGAGACAGAGCTATATAGTTCATGGGCATGATGGTAACCCAGCATTGCGATCCTTGTGCTCCATGATGAGACGTTAAATCTCCGCCAGAGTTACAGCCAGTCCACATTTTGCCCCAAACTGCACTAATGATTATGGTACAGTTATCACGCAAATCATCCACATTCCGAGGAATTTCTTGCATGGTGCGTCGACTATTTCTCATCGAAATCATTTGCCGTGTTCTCTACAAGGGGCGGAGAAATACATCCCCACCAAACCACGCCAACAACCAAGCTAAGCTCACACCAAAATCTCAATTTTCCGCCTCGTAACAGTACGTTATGTGAAATCCCCACCAGCAAATCTCCGCAATGCGACATCGCCCTTGCAATTTTCTAGCGGTATGGGGAGACGCGAAAACGTCTGATTCCCCATGGGCAGGATTTACTCTGGGGTTTTGACAGAGCTTAGTGTGCCATGTGATACCTTAAATGGTATGGAGTATTTTGGTGGATTTTTTTTCGTTTGTCAAAGACGTGTATGGGAGGAGTATATAGACTTGCATACATCCCCGGCATGTCAAGGATGATCGGCACTGGCTTCTGACAACGGTCTTCAACTATCTCTTGGGATTAGTACTCTATATTCTTCTTTCTTCTCTTCCGACAATCAGGGCCGTCCTTGAGTCTCTGCAGCCAGAATGGGCACCGTCACTGAGGTTGGCCATGGGCCGTCCCATCAACCATGGTGGAAGACAAGCCACTTGATCAAGCTCAACTCCATCATCCTATCACTTGTCCTCTTCTGTAAGTCCAGCCTACAAACCCATCCTCAACAATCTCACCCCATAATTACGTACACTTCCTAACCTTTTCAACAGCCTCAGCAAACGGCTACGACGGCGGTCTAATGGGCTCCATCCTCGCCCTGAACACCTGGAACACGTTCATGCACCACCCCACCGGCGCATATCTCGGCTGGATGACAGCGATATACTGGCTCGGCAACGGCCTCAGCACGCCCCTCGCAGCATGGTGCTCCAACCGCTACGGCCGTAAACCAGGTCTCTATGCGGGCTACTTCTTCCTCATAATCGGCGTCGGAATGCAAGCTGGTGCACCCAACGAGAAAGCCTTTACGTATGCTCGACTCTTCATCGGTTTCGCTGCTGGCTTTTTGGGAAATTCTGCGCCTGTGTTGATTAATGAGATCGCGTATCCTTCGCATAGAGCTATTGCGAGTGCGCTGTTTATGTGTGGGTGGTATGTTGGCGGCACGATCTGTGGATGGGTCACCTTTGCGTGTCGCGTCATCCCCAATGACTGGTCCTGGCGCATTCCTGTCCTGCTGCAGATCTTCCTGCCGCTCTGTGCGCTACCGGGTTTCCTGATGGCGCCAGAGAGTCCGAGATGGTACGTCAGTGTCGGGCGATTGGAAGAAGCGACAGATGTCATTGCGAGGTATCATGCTGGTGGAAACAGGGATGATCCAATCGTCAGCACGCAGATGATGGAGATTGAGGCTGCTATCACGGCTGAGAAGGATGCTTCTAAGAGTGCTTCTTATCTCGATATGTTCAAGACTAAAGGAAACCGACATCGATTATTCATCTCGGTTACGCTTGGATTTGTTGCGCAGTGGGCCGGGAACGGTGTTGTTTCGTACTATCTGCCTCTTGTATTGAACTCGGTCGGTCTCAAGACTACAACGGAGCAGACTCTTATCTCTGCTTGTCTTAACGTTTGGAATCTTCTCTGGGCTACTGCTGCGGCGGTCAGTGTGGATCGCCTTGGTCGAAGATTCCTTTTCTTGACGTCGGCGACTGTCATGTTTTTATCATTCGTTGTCGTCACTGCACTCAGTGCATCCTTTGCAAAGTCTGGTGCTTCGTCAGTTGGATTGGCTGTTGTGCCATTCCTATTCATCTTCTTTGCAGGATATGACGTCGGGCTGTAAGTTTCACTGACGTCTCGAGATGGTCACAGCTAACATATTTAGAACGCCCTTCCTTGTCGCATATCCTTGCGAGATTTGGCAATTCTCTCTCCGATCTCGCGGTCTCACGGTGGCCTGGTGCACGACCGTCGCATCAATCTTCTTCAACAGCTTCGTCAACGCCATTGCTCTCGACGCGATTCAGTGGAGGTACTACATTGTATTCGCCGTGATTCTGTTCATCTTCATCTTCGTTGTCTACTTTACATACCCTGAGACACGAGGTCATACGTTGGAGCAGATGGCGGTTATTTTTGATGGAGAAAATGCGGTGCCATCTCAGGCTGTTGCGCTGGAAAAGACTGATGTTGAAGAGAAGGAATAATGGTTGGAATGTTGAGATAAGATAAGGCGTCTGAGTAAATCAAAACAAGCATCGTCGATCGTCGATCTAATGATATGATCGGTGATTGATTGGTCGATTCCGAATCTGACGTTTTAGGCTGCCGTTGCTATCAATGACGTCAGTGTGAATGTATCATGTGCCCAGTCTCGTCGTAAGCTTGATTCCTTTCAAAAAGGCTTCTCTCCTCTTCCATTCCCCTCTTCTTCTGTATCAACATTCTCTCGCAATCAAACCATCACTCAATACTGCAAAAGTGGTTGTAAAGATGCTCAACAACGCTGTCATCGCCTTCCTCCAGCTCTGGCTTGCTACGCTTGCCTTTGCTGCCCCCATCGCTGACGAGGTCACCGTCACTGGCGCTGAGCCCTGGCACTATGGAACTGGTGGTGGAATTATCGGCTTCATCATTTTGGTCCTCGATATTCTTGTCTGGAGTGCGTATTTCCCTGTCTCCCAGCTGTTCAAATGGCACTAACACATGTACAGTTGAGGTCCTTCAATCGAACCGCCCCGTCTCGCACAAGATCCTCTGGTGTCTCGTTGTCTTCCTCTTCCCCGTCGTCGGAATGATCATCTACTACCTCTTCTCCAACCGCAAGTCTCACATGCGCAACTCTGACTACACCCCGGTTCCCTAAATGCATCGCGCATCAGTTGACGACAGCCACGCGACACACGGCAACAACACGACAAATGAAGAAATGGGGCTGAGGAATGACGTACGAGCCAACGGAACGTGGAAGTGGAAACAGGCAACAATTAAATCAGATAGCGACTTGTTTTTATGGGAATGAATTGACGAAACGTTTACTTGGGAGCTCCGAGTACGCCTTGCAATCGTGAGACTGAGGCCGCGACCATGGCTGTGCATTTCAGCCTGGCCAACATCAACTAAATTGACTTTCTGCCTGTTTCAATTCTCTTTTAGACTGAAAAAAATAAATCAATCAATATCTGCCTTGAGCGATGCAGTTTGTTCCATTTCTTGCACAACCAACTGCATATGCACGTCTACGCGCGCGACTAGTGAAACACCAACATGGCGGAGCATCTCAGCCGGCCGTTGGTCCAGACCCAGCATGTACTTATTTACGCTGAAATCCATGCCAACAGCCATAACAGTTACACACAAACAATTGTAATTTCATTTTACCATCTACGGCGCTTCTCACTTCACAATGCCACCCAATCAACGCGAAATCCAGCGACAGCTGATGAAAAAGTACAACATCATTTTTGACGGTCCAATTGACTCAATCACCAATCCTCACTGGCCGAGCAACTGCAACACCATTTTTGACCACATTCGGCGACTCGGTAAAACGGATTACTCAGAATACCGTGAGAGCATATCCGCAGACTTCACGCGGTTTCCATGGAGGCACCAGGCTCAGCAGCGCGCAAAGCGTATTACAAAGATTGCCAAACGCTGCTTAGAGAGCAGGAAGAATGAAAGCGGATGGCGTCTGGCGCTCGAATTAGAAGTCATGGCCCGATTTTCTGTAGAGATTGCCTGGTAAGTTCTGTCAGGTTGATTATCAGTCATAAGATTGCTGAAATATTAATAAGTCGGAATTGCCGTGGACGACTTTGGCGCTCTGAGTAAGAAGTCGACCCAACCACTCAAACGGCTGAAGAGGATGACCCTAATTCCCTTCGGGCTCGACAGAGGAGGCGTCAGTCTTGTACATGTAAGCCTAATGGCTTCTCGCGAGACATGTGAGTGCATTGTATCGTTGAGTTTGGACGCATGTTAATCACTCTTTAGACCAGAGCAGGGAATCAGCCCCTTGTTCGACGACAGAGCTGAAGAAGCAATTATCTATTCTAGTGAACTGCGAGCGGAGCTCCCGAAACGCGAGCACCGCCCCGATCGAGTCTTTGGGCTACAGGTTACCGAAAGGCTCTCTCGGCTACTAAACTACGCCGAGGATATTAGGAGTAGCCCGTTCAGGCTAGACGGAGATCCTCTTGTCTATCCCTTTCTGGTGATTGAAGCCAAATCTGAGAAGGGCAGTGATGCTTTCACCGATACGCAGGTTCAGACTGCCTTCGCTATCAGAGAGCTACTCTCCATACAGCAGGAACTAGCCCATGTTGCGAATGAAAATGAAGAATGGGATGGAGGTCCACTTGTGTGGTTTCTGTCATACAAAGGCGAGCAGTGGAGAGTATTCGCAGCTTACATTCATACCACCCCCGATAAGATATCTTACGTGAGTATAGCACGCATGAAACACATTTAGAGTCTAACACTCTTGCAGCGAGTGGTTCGTCTTTGGAGTGGCGGCGTCGACTCGCTAGATGGTGCACTTCAACTGCTTCTCATTATCGACTATATCGCTGACTGGGCACGGGACATCTATCGCGAAGGCATCGCCCGTAGCCTTCAAAGGCTTGCGCCCACTGACTCGGAGAGCTTGAGGCGCGATGACGATATCTTCTCCATGGCTGGAAATATCAGATCGTGGATTGCCAGTAATTTCGACAGGAGTCACGACGCAAAGGACCGGCCTATGGGAGACTCTCTCTGCAAATTCGACTGCGGGTCAGGAGTTTTTCGAGACGCTAGATTTGTTGAGTCCCAATGCATCGGTTTAGTTATCACCCACCACAATGTCGAATCCTTTCTGCGGACAGCCACCACGGACAGGGAGACAAGAGGTTTGATATCCGTTCTTCTGGAGAGCTTAGAGCGTCCCTGTCTTGCGAAGGGCCAAGTACTCAACGACTTGGAGCTCATGTGGACAGACACTGACCGCAATCTGTCTGAAATACTACATCCAGAAGACGTATTCTATGTTGTCGTTGTAGCAACATTTTATCTCAGCCCAGGCTGGAAGCCAACGAGAGAATTGACGTATCTAGCAGTCTCAAAGAAACTTGTTCAAGACTCTATCCGGTCCCCAGAGGGGCCACTTTCATCCACCATACAACTTGAGAAGGCTCCGATGGTCGAAGACTTAGAATCATTCCGCGGGCTTCTTCATATGTCGGCCGAGGATAATTTGAATGCTTGTCTTTATAACTTTTGCCTTCGGACTGATAAGCCAACCAGAGCTCGACGTTCGGAAGTTAACTATGTTTGGAAGGCCCTACCGACAGTTGCATCGGATGATGCTGATCGGGAGCTACAAGACCGAGTTCTGCGAGCTTGTGCACGACCTAGCACAAGGGACTTTGTGCGTAAGCTGCATTCCATATATAAGATTGGAAGGAATGAACCAGATGTTTCATTTCTTCGTGTATCGTCAACAATGGATTAGCTGGCTAGTCCGGAGGATTTGCAACTTCGACTCGACGTTTTGGACCAGACAGAATGGCCCTGGGCAGACGATAGCAGTTTCAAAACAATGAAGGAATCGAATAAGGAATTGATCATTGTCAGGAGAGCTGCGCAGGTCACGTATTTCCAAGCGGATATGTGTATCTATGTTCTCGATACATCATTGGCGCAGCGAGGTATTCCCCAAGCTCTATTTTCTTGCCCACCGGAGACTCACGTTCTCATGTTCAAGTTTGATGAGGATCCCAGCAACATTGGTAGGTGGGGAACCTCCTCATATCCAGAAGATGAGTTCAGGAAAGGTTGGAACCTTGCTATTCATACTTCAGACGACATAGGCCGTCTAATGGATCACTTTGAGAAGTTGAAGAAAGAGCTAAGGCAGTATCGAGGGTTTGGATTACTATCCAAGTGGAAGCACGTTACGACGGGTTGGGCCAAGGATCAGAATACTGGGTCTCTGGACTTTCCCTCTAATCGGCCTTTTATAAGACATTCATACCAAGCCCCGCTGAGTAGCACATTACTCAAAGAGGAGGACTATGGATCTGACCGATTGTCTCCAATGCCCTTCCATTCTGGAGTTAAACAGGCGAATGAAGTTACGAGGACAGCAGGGTCAGTCAATAGAACGGCTGCATCAGTACACAGACCAACACGAAAAAGGATAGTGCAAAATCTAGACAACACTCGAGATGGTGACGACCGTGCGAAGTCCTCTACTATGTCAGAGCAACGAAAAGGAAAAAGGCCCATGGGGGCGGCGGATGAGCCTGACGAGGCTGAGTCCTCAGCACATGCAGAACGACGAGCTCGTCAGGAGCGGGAAGTTGCCCAACGGTTTAATAGTGATTTTCTTTCCGACGAGGAGCTGGAAGAATTGTTGGCAAAGGGAACGCTTTCTTGAACTGCCGCATACTGGTGTTGGCGTATACCTGCACTATTATAAATTTTCTTGTTATAAGAACTCAGTAGATAAAGATGAGATAGTCGGGATAAGTGAAAGTCATAGGAGATAGCCATGAAAATGTTATTCCTCTCCTTTTAAGACATATATTTGGCAAACCACCTAATTACCTGATCTTCTGCCTGATCAGCCATATCCTTCTCCTCCCTGTTATCCGGGTTGCCTCTAACAGCAAAGCCATGCTTTGCATTGGGAATAATTACAACCTCAGTGTCCACATCCCTCTTTGCATCCAGGATCTCAGCTGCCTTGTGCACCTCCTTCAAAGGCAAGGCAAAGTCGACATCACCAATGACCATACTGTAGGGCAGTTTCACAGGTTCGATGTCTCGGGAAACCTCGATTTCACTCGGGTGAGCAGTGAAGGCTGCGTCGATGATCGTCTTGCCATTCGCAGCTACCTCACCGTGGGCTAGATGCGTGATACCATATGCGCCCCAGCAGAAGCCCACCACGCCAACCTTGAGATTAGCTGCTTCACTGCAACGTAGGTCGTCCATGAACTTGCGAATGCCAGGATAACGCTTCTCGGGCTTGTTACGAATGCTGAAGGGTACCATGACGAATGCCGCCTTTAATAAGTTCCATCTGATTCTCTGCGTTAGGAATAACAGTGTTGCTTGGTACATGTTTAACTTACGGTTTTACCAGCCATCCCCAGAAACCTCCATCATTAAGAACACTGTCAATGACGGCTTTGATGGATGCGGGCGCAGAGGTGCCTGAAAATAAACACATAAGCCTTCAAGTACCGAGGACATGGACAGAAACCATGAACTCACCATGCATGAAATCAGGAACGTATACTCTGCAGCCAGTCCGCTCTGCATATCTGTCTGCCACACCACGTAGGTTGGTCGTGTTCCACCCAAACGCATCCGACATGACGACTATCAGTCCCTTTGTCGAAACCTCTTTGGTCTGAGGTTCTGTAACGTACACATCATGACCATGAAGTTTGGCCTGGCGGCCGTAAACAGGACCAGGATGGTCATGTCCTGTGTAACAGCCAGCGCACGGCATTTTGCTTAATGTTGACGGCTGAGTTTGAAGCACAAGAAGAGGGCTAGCCACTTATTCAGAATTGACCAACTAGAAATCCCGACTGAAATGCCAATTTGGTGAAGATTGCACTTTATCAAGCTTAGTTGAAACCCTGGCTGGCACTTTCCCGTGTGGGGTTCCGAACATCCGCGCCGGTGGGCATCCCCACCAAAAGTTCCTGTTATGCTCTGCAGGCAATGGATCTGGTTTAGCACCCACCCACTCGCTAAGGGAGTCTCTTCGGGTGGCACCACAATGATTCAACGCGCTTGTTGCTCCATAGCATTCATATGCTACCATCACGGTTGCATTTTCTAACTTGATAAGTGACGTTCATTGACAGCAATACATCTGACTATATCATGATAACTTGTTGCAAAATGAATGTCAAAATAGTTACACAGCCACATATACCCAGTTCTACCATGAGTTAGGAGCAACGTCGGTGTAGACTCTGAAGCCACTATTCTGCTTTGCATCTTCGAAAGCCTCGTGATGCTCCCCCAAGCCGTAAACCTTGTGACTCGAGCCCCCCCGCTTGCCGAGCTTGAGAACCCCCGAATTCACCATCTTGATAGTCAACTCAATTCCTCCTCGTGATACCATGACCTTACCAATGATCTTGATGTTTTTGTGCATCACGAGTGTGTACGGAACTGAGATAGACCCAGATGGCGCTCCGCTAAGGACAACTCTCCCTTCTGGTAGCACGGCCTGTATGGCGGCCGAGAAGTACGGAGAGCCGTTCAAGCTGCCTGATGCCCAATCGTTGTATACTTCGACACCGCGCCCATTGGGGCTTGCCTTTCGGATTGCGGCCGCGTCCACCTCGTCATCTCCAGTCATGACAACATAGCTGAATCGCTCGTGGTTCCCAAGCTGCTGTTTCAGGTATACGAGCTTTGTCTCACTGCGACCAATGGCAATGACGTTGGCGCCCAGAGCCAGTGCCATGTCGGAGGTGATACCTCCATAGGTCCCAGTGGCTGGCCCCAGTACAATCGTCTCGCCTGCTAGTAGATTGGCAGCCTCGAATAAAGCTCCAGCAGAGATGCTATAGAAGGAGATCTCATGAAGGTCCGCGGGTGTGTATCCAAGCTGCTTGCATAGCCGATCCTCGTCCAACACAAAGATATTCTCGAGAGGGACCTTTTGATACTGTTGGAGGGCGCCGTCTCGCCATTCTCCCTGCATGAGCTTGCGGCCTTTCGTACCCTCTCCACCGTGGTGACCCTGGATAATATTCACGCTAGGATCGTCTCGCGCATAGATGGCGGCCGAGAAAAAGACCAGATCACCGGGCTTGGCAAGTATGGCATCCGATCCGACGGCGTGTACCCGGCCGATATGGCTTGGATGCGGCACCAGGGGAAGGCTCAGGTTGAAGACAGGCAACTTGCCCTGGTGAATATCTTCGGCATATGGGAATACCACTGTGTTTAGAACTTGGACGACGGCTGAGCCAGCTGTTGCCTCAGGGACGGGGAGTTCAACGAGCTCTAGAGGTTTGTCGAATGAGGAGAGCCATAAGGCACGATTGGTAGTTGTAGGAACGCTGGGACTCATGTTGGGACTGGTGGAATGGGATTGAGAGGTGAAATTGATTGGAGAGAAGGGAGGCTTTGGGAAAGTTGCGGTTGGTAGCTAAATACAAATGCTTGACTAGTCCCTGTGAGCGACAAGCCAGCCACCTCACCAGCAACTACTACCAAGACTTTCGAGTCAGCTTCGCAAAAGAGCAGGTGGAGTTCATTCCCACCCGATGACACAACTCCACCCATACAACCTATCAAATCTCCACGTAATTAATGTCTAGCACCACTTTGGGAGCATATTTGATCACCTCGAAAGCTGTAGAGTGGGCAAAGCCAAACAAAGTGGTGGGAGTTACAAGGTTCGCCGTATTTCATCAATCGATACATAGATATAGTGGTTGTACATGAATATTACGGAACTCTACAAGAGAACCTGCCCAGGAGTCATTACAATCTTGATGAGAATAGAAGAACCCGATCAAAATAGTGAAATCAGTTCTCAGTCTCAAAACGTCCTTATATTACCATGCCATCCCATTCAAGTAGTCTAGACTCTCTATGTCCTGCTGGGTTGGTATGCCTGCTTCGCCCAACTCTGCTGTACCAAATATCTTGCCCCAGGTTTCTATATCGTATTCGTCCAAATTTTCAATTGATGTCGGTGCATGAGATTTAGTAGCCGGCTCTATTTGGGTTTTTTGTCAGCAAGAGCTTGAAAGTAAACATCGTTGACCTACCCTCAACTTGGCGAGTCAATGACACCGCAGAAGGCCGTTCTAGCCTATTAGTACCAACAGAGTCTGTTTCACAGACTTCCGGAGGTGTCGGTAGTAAATTAGGAGAAGGCTCACTCGAGACCACTAGATCAACAAAATGGTCCTGCCGCACAGGTCTGAAGACTCTTCTGCGTCCAAGGTCTTGGTAAATCTTGAATATAGCGGGCATGTTAGCTACACCAAACTCCTTCACAAAAGCTGCTATGAGATATCCCATAGACAGGCCTGCTAATCCTGTAGTTTGTGTACTCGGTAGCCCGTTTGTGGCAGCAAGATGTGATCTGAGGTGCATATCAGTGCTCGCGAAGGCGAGGTGAAGGTTGTAAAGTTGCGGTGTTAGGTGCGGTGCCGTTCCCAGCTGAACCTTGCCAGGCAATGGCGAAATCTGACAATGTTGTGGAAGTCCATCATACCAGCGATTCAATGCTAGTAGACTTTTGGTGCAAGGCCTGTTTGAAGATTGTCGATTCGACATGGCATCGTTTAGGATGCATATTAAGCTGACGTAGCAGTTGAAGATACTTAAGACCCGCGAAGGCTGGTTCATGGAGTTGGTGTTGCCCAAACTTGTAGAAGTTACGTTCTGCGGTTCCCATTCATTCGGACCTGTTTCTGCGAGCTTCGGGGAGAAACATAAATCTCCTGTCCTGAGATATGGTGGCTTGCGCAAACGACATGATACGAGAGTATCGAGTATAAAGCAACTTAGGAGAAGCCGCTTCTGATTGTCATCATCGACATTTGCGGCATTGGAGCCGTTGCTGGTAGAAGGCGCGGTACCGAGATGAAGACAAATCCTCACTGCTTGGCCAATCAAGTGCCATGAAGACACAAGATCTTCCTGATCCATTTTGAAAAGGCCCAGGATAAGCAAAGCTTGAACGTAGCCTGACAGTCGCGCATCTTCGTTAGGTATCCGTTGTCTCGCCTTGGAATAGATTATTTCGGGAGGAGGAAGAGCAGATTCACCATCAGATGCTCCAGTATGGTTACGGGTATCTTGAAGGGAAGCATAAGCAACAACAGCCCATAGAGTGGCCATATTTCCCTCTTCTGCCCGATCGTCTCTTGACGGCGAATACAACAACTCCAGCATCTTGTGCTTTTGGACCATCGGGAGCCAACAGTTGGTATGGGCAAAGTATATATCAATTAAGCGCCGTACCTGCTGAGCAGACGCGGGGGATGATACGTCGTTCCATGGAGCCGGTTGGGGCACTGACGCGTCATGAGAGGAAGGCGTGTTGGCCCTGTCGGTATCCATGGGGTCTGAGACCTCCCGAGCGTCATTGGCTGGCGTTGAAGTCTGTACAGCCTCGAATGCCTTGACACGAGGGGCGAGGTCGGGAGTGGAGGCTTCAGCCTTGACGGAAGCCACGGAATTTGCACCGGAGTCGTTCCTTTGCTGAATATTCGACAACAGCTGATCCAATTCTTCTTGGATATCACTACCGTCCCAAGCTTGTCTGAGTGTCTCGTAATCTCTGACAAGCCTGCTGTTCAAGACCAATCTGGATCGCGAATCTAGGGCAAACTGGATATCTGGCAAGAGCTCTTGGACTACAGCCTTGCTATTAGGAACGACGGTGAAGACAAGTGCCCAAAGTAGTTCCAGAGCCCTCACATATCCCGTCGTCAACCCACGCTTCTTGGAGTCGGGGCCGTAGCTGCATGGGTAATGGATGGCCGAGCATCGCGAGCAGGTTGGGTGGCTGCCATCGCATCTGTGCTTACGAGCACGGCAGTAATTGCAGGCTCTTGAGACGCGCTTGTGTTTGTTGACTCTTGTGCGTTTGGGTTTGGCAGGCGGATCCATTGTGATTGTAACGGTGATGAGAATTTGAGGCTCTGGGAGTGGTCTAGCCCCTTAGCTTTTACGATAAACAGTTCAATATTTAAAATAATGGATGGCTTGGTACTTGGAGGCGGCTGAAATACGCGCTACATAAATCGTAATTCCCACTTACGGTGGGTAACTTTAAGTTGTCGTCGGTTGATCCACCTGCCCCGTTCAACACAAAAAGTACTGTAAAGTGCTACCTCACACAACTAAATACCACGCAAGGTCACCCATTTCACTTAATTATGCCCAGTAGTGAGGTATCACGAAAGCTAGCAGAATTTCAAACGGACATGTATCAGGTATGCAATCGGTCTGCTCAGCTCAGGCTGCCGCAAGGCATGCATACACAGTTATACAAGGCACATATAGTCAAATTATACCTATTCAGATCTATCCTCTCAAAACCTATTCTCTTCAAGATGGGATCATGTCAGACATGGGCCTTGAGGAACTCAAAGCCCTTTTCCAAAAGTTCAAGTGCATTCTCAGGCTGTCCAATTTCATCAAAGCCGTGCTGTCCTCCTTCCACCAGGACCAATTCCGTCTCGACGCCATGACTCTTGAGTTCGTCATATGCCTGTTGCGACAGCCTTGCCGGCACCAGCTTGTCTTCGGCGCCGTGGATGAAAAAGGTGGGAGGGAAGTTACCCTTGGAGAACTGCGAAACGGGGTCAACGCGATCATAGTCGCCGTCTCCTACAACCGTCTTCAACTGTGTTCCCTTTCCGAGCTGATCAAACATCCAGGCAACACGATAGTTGGCCAAGTCATGCCCTTTCGGTCCCACCGGAGGGGGTGCTGAGGTGGGAGGAGGGTCATCTTTCCAAATCTTGCTCGTGAAATCTTGATCAATCTGAGGAGCACCTGGAGGTGCAGGTAAGGGGGTATGGAAGGCCGAGTCTGCTAGGTACTTGATCCCGTAAATGTCGAGAATTGCGCGAGGCGGTTGGGGCGAACTGGCCTAGACGGTCCGCGTATTAGCATCTCATATCCGTGTCAGAAATTATGGTATCTGCTCACTGTCAGAAGGGCCAAGGTGCCACCGCAGGAATGACCCAGTGTTACAATCCGAGAGCCATTCGCTTCTACATGAGCATCTTCGAGAAGCAGCTGGGGTAATTTTGTCCGCGACCATTCGTATGCGTCCAGTGCATCTTTGACCGGTCCTTCAAAGACTGTAACCGTGGGAGCCAGTCGATAGTTGGCGGATACAACCACGAAACCTAGATCCAAGAGCCTTTCGCACTGGTCTCGCGGGAGCATTTGTTTCGAGCCGACCGTGAAATTTCCGCCATGGAAATGTAATGCTGTATCTCAACGCGTCAGATGCTTACTCAGAGTGGGCGAGGATTGAGTAGTTTGCATACCTATTGGAAGCTTCGAAGCAGTCGTGGTCTTCCTGAAGTATACGTCTGCGGCTACCGGGATTCCATTGATGGCTTTGAAGACGTATTCCTTGCGAGTGGTCATTTTGTTGGTGTTCAAATCTGCAGTTAGCATCAACTCTAGCCTTTTCTGCTAAGAACAGTCTTGTTCTACGTCCAAAAGAAAACCGCGTGAGGAAGGCAAGGATATGGTGGCCTGTCGTAGATCAATGAATACAAAATAGGTGGCAAACAAGAATGGCAATCGTTCGGTTGTGTACCACCGCTGTCCCACCCAGAAGCTACCCACCCATACCCGCCCACCTTGTCACGATGAGGTCGATAATGAAGGAATTTTGTGCATTGCAATGAGAGAGAAATGATATGATGATATATATAATATATCGAGTGCTTGCTGATAATATCTCAAAAATACTTCCTCGGCTTTGGACCCGAAAAGATTCCATGTTATGTTGACCACCACTGCTCCCCCGAATACGGAATGAGTCCGAATAAACTAAGACGGCCAACTAATTGAGGATATTTTATGTTACATTGACATTGGATGTACGGAGAACTGTAGCAATGTTTGTCGCTATGGTGGGTAGGCTGTTGCAACGTGTATGGTAGTGTCCGAATCCTCCAATTTCTTAATTAACGATTTCAGCTTTTGCGACACAGAAGAAGGCCCTGCACATATTAGCATCTTCTCAAAATCATTAACGACAGAGACTTGAACTTACACTTCCACATTGAGCCATCCGAGAGAAGCTCTGCTGATACGGCAAGCGGTAAGACTGATTGTAGGCCATAATCCCCCAATTGCAGGTCCGTAACTTCTGCAAAACTCTCATTTATCAATGCATTGAGAATATCGCGTGATTCAGCCTGTGAATCACGAGATTGCGCGAATTGAAGGTACCAGCAAAGAAGCAGGCCTGCCTACAGGTTAGCTACTGAACAAAAGTTGAGCACGGAATTCAAGACATACAGCCCTCTAAAGCGCCGACCGCGCTTTCGGGCCCGAATATTATGGGCGCTATTTTTTTAATGTAAGATAGACCCACGCGGCAGTCGGATCTTAGCTGGTCTGCTGCATTGAAGAGTGCCTGGTAGAGTTCAGGTGAGATTGCCTCGTTTAAAAGATGCATGATCTCAGGATCATCGAGACTCGCAGGCGACCAGAGTATCTTCTTCATGACAGACAGCGGAACGCTAGCGTAAAGATGGTAGAAAGCTGAGTTCAGTAATGATCTGGCGCAGTGAACGGTGGGATTCGGGACCAGTCCGCCATCATCCTGGATCGTACGAGCTTTGAGAATTGCATCTAGCACCTGCAATGACTGTTCCGTTTTTTTGCCGAATTTAGTGTAGAGTTCCCCGTCGCGCGAGCCTGTTAGTAGCTCAAATGAGCATATCCTGTAGAGAAGGGCAGACACGATGGTTACGAGACCGAATTCGCTGACTGGCATGGACGGTGGTTGGCCGGCGATGATGCTGTCCAGCGCATCGTTACTGTATAATACTTCGGTTGGGGTGCCCCAGCTGGACTCTTCTTTTAGCCACTCTGCGTTGCTTGACGGGAGGGCGAATCTGGCTTCGACCATAGGTGTTGGGATCCATGCTTCCTGTTCCTTTGAGCATACGGTGCCACCTATGAGTATCGTAGATGAGATACACCTTGTATAGTGTGAGCAATTATAATGCGTGCATGGTATGAGTATAAGTACCTATTTAGACTCTCCCAGCGCACCCAATCCTTATACGTGGTGGGCGGACACGTCTGTAGCTCACTGAATGCTTCTTGTGTAAGCTGAAAACGTAAGAGTTAGCCATGACCAGACTGAATTAGTAGACGTTGGAATTAACCTTGACGCAGTGAGGAAACGCGTGTGCTCGCTTGCCTTCCGAACCGCAGTGAATCTCAAAATAAGCGAGGAGCAAATATGTCTGCAGCATCCACGTTAGAGTCTCAGGGTCGGCCTTGCTGAACGCAATCATCCGTTCATTCTGGTTCCTCTGTTAACGAAATTTATCATCTAAGTGCTCGGAATGACTGTCCTACCTCGAAAACAAGTTGCACGGAGATGGTATGCATCGATGTAGCCCTGGAGTGTTCACCGAGATATACGGCGCTACAGGCCATTACAGCAAGCAGGAGGGGAGCTATGTCAAACTTTGTTTCAGAACCTCTATTGCACTGCCTATGATGGCCTACTACTTACATGGCGTTGTGGCGATGTCAAACGTCGGCTCATGTATGATGGGTATATGAGGAGCAATATGCTTAAAAAAGGCCTTGACAAACCGCCTCACAGCATATTTGGAAGGAAAGCGAAGCGAAGCGAGTATGTGGGCCGGATATTTTGTGAGGTTGGCCCAAGCATTCTCACATTTATTGTCGTTGTGGACGAGGTTGCGCGGGGTAGATGGTTTGTCTGTCTGACCGAGAGTAGTTGGTATGTATGTATGTATGTATGTATGTATGTAT